GGTAAAGTCCTGTTGGTTGGCGCCCTCAGGGGGAGGAGATGGGGGTTCTGCAATGAGAGAAGGGCGGTACGGAAGTATGCTCCACCTCGGTGCGGCTGTCTCGGGTGTCAGTGAGACTTCGTCCTCAGTCTCTGAAGCGTTTGATATTGAAGAGTCAGAGTCTGACTCCTCTTCTATCCGCCGTCGAGACTGAGTATACCGCACCTGCGATGCGAGCGCCGCCTGCGTTAGATGTTGTAACTCTGGGTGCATTTCGCACCACAGAGTATGCAGGCGCCTGGCATAGTCTGAGGTCTGTGGCTCGCATCTCTCCCAACACTGCATCAAGTCCCGTCTCAGCTCCTCTGTCCACCTGAGACGCTGTAGGGGTGGTCCGTGGTCTATATCCATATTGGAACGTGTCATAAGGCCCCTCCCAACTGTTCCATGGCCCTCATCCGAAGAGGGCCGGTTGTGGGGGGCCGGTGTAGGTCTATCAGTAGGAACCTGTTGAAATCCTTTGCAGAGGTGGTTAGCCCACTGCAAAGGTGGTGATGTTTAACGAAACCGAGATGGATAGTTTCGTTCCTCACGCCCAGAAGGCCATCACCTGTGAGGAGGAAATACCGGCTGTACGGACTTATTCCATTACCGTAGCGAGAGGAGCACCCCTCGGCCAGACATTATTATTATTATCATTATTATTATTATTATTATTATTATTATTATCATTATTATTATTATCTTGCATTTTATAATTATTATTATTATTATTAGAAATAATGGTTTCGTTAATTATTATAATATTCCTACCATTATAATAATTTAATTAAATTAAATATATTAAATACCTCTAGCGAATGTTTTAATATAATTATATGTATAATTTTTTATTAGAAATATTAAAAAATTGAATTCAATTATAATAATGGTAAGAATATTATAATAATTAACGAAACCATTATTTCTAATAATAATAATAATTATTATAAAATGTAAGATAATAATAATAATAATAATAATAATAATAATAATAATAATAATAATAATAATAATAATAATAATAATAATAATAATAATAATAATAATAATAATAATAATGATAATAATAATAATAATAATAATAATAATAATAAAATTTGAAGAAAAAATATAAAGATGTAAAAATATAATTGCATATGCTAACAGGTGGCGCATGGTAACATTTCACCACCAGGAGGCGCCCAATAACTAGTTATCTAGCCAACCAGAAGGGTTTTTCAATCACATGAGATTTGATTCTCAACCTGTGCACATCGTGTAATTTTCGCTGTGATATTTTTGTGAAAATACAAGTGCAATTGTGTTTTTATATATTAATTGCATAAGTAAAACATAAAAATGAACATTTAAAAGTAAAAGTGAGTGTTTGTGATTAGAAATAATTAATTTATACAGTTGAGGTGAAGTGATGAAACAATGTCAAACCGAAGTTCCGAAAGTCGTAAAGGGATGATCCCTTCACGATGGTTATCATGTCCTCGCAAAAATTAAATAATTCAAATTAATAAACAATAAATTTCTCGCGTTTAAAACACCACCTCGATAACAAAATAGTTGAATGGAGTTTCAAGAACGGTCGTTGGGTATTTATGCGCGAAAGAACCGATAAATATTTGCCAAATTTGTTCAAGACTGCTCAATCGATTTTAAATAGTATTAACGCGCCGGTAACGTCTGAATGTTTAATAAATTCTATTAGTAAATTTAAGTTTAACGAGAATTGGGAGGATTGCTTGCCTCCACCAGCCAAACGACGGCGATAAATTAATTAGATTTTTTTATGTTTTCAATTTTTAGCATAAGTTGAGCAGATTAGAGTCAGTAAAATTTAATATCATGATCAATGATTAGAACAGTGCCTATGGTAAATCATTACCAACGCACCAATATGAGATAAATTATTAAAAAAAATATTTTTTTATAGTAATTATTTCTAATTGAAGTTTAATTTTGGGAATCTCTTTTTTTTTCTCGTGTTATGCTTTTAAAAGATCTTCGAAAGGCTCTTGATTAAGAGATTAGAGTTTTTTGTAGAGACGGAATATATCCTACTCAACATGCAATATGGTTTCAGAAAGGGAAAATCATGTCAAGATAACATTACAATACTTACAACAGACGCACACAATACCTTCGCGCAGAAGAAGACTATGGGAGAGGTATTCCTAAACATAGAGAAAGCGTATGACAATGTAATACCCCAAAAACTGGTAAATAAAATATCCGGGCTCAGACTACCTAAGAGAATAATTGTTTTCATTGCAAATCTTCTGTCTCCAAGACAAGTCAATTTTTACGGGGAGGGCACAAAGATCGATACGAGAACAATTAATAAAAGTGTTCCTCAGGGGAGGGTAACAAGTCCTTTGCTATTCAACATGTATTTAAGTGACATAGAGAAAAAGATCGGCGAGAAGTGCAAGATTTTAATGTATGCAGACGACATAGCTATTTACGTCAGTGAAGGCGATGAAACAGCATGCATAGAAAGTTTGGAAAAGGGCTTGAGCCATTTAGCCCCATGGTTAAAAGATTTAGAGCTTAAAGTCTCTCCACAAAAGTTTAAGTTCATGATCTTAAGCCGCAAAAAAAGAATACTAGGAAACTTACAGGTTAGATTAGATGGTCACACAATAAAGAGATCAGAGACAGCAAGATATCTAGGAGTAATAATTGATTCTAAATTAAAGTGGAAACCATTCATAAATGATATTAAAACCAACGTCTTCAGAAGCATAGACGTCATGAAGTCGCTGACAAGAAAATCTTGGGGGATGCACCCATCTACGCTGATGCAAGTGTATAAAGGGCTCACAAGAGCAAGGGTAGAGTGGGCCTGCATGGTGTCCCAGTCAGCATGTGCGTCAACTCGCAAGGTACTAGAGGTAGGTCAAAACTTAGCCCTAAAGACTGTTTTAGGCTGTCTGCCGTCGACTCCCTCGAATATCCTACTGGATTTAGCAGGACTGACATCCATGGAAGCTAGAACGAAGGTACTAACAAACAGATTTTTGGCAAGAGCGTACTCGCGGAAATCTCATAATCTGATTCCAAAGTTAAAACTATCAGAGAGCCTAAGAAGAAAAGGTAAGATGGGGATCGAAAGAGGATCCTTTCTCAATAAGCAATGGAAAGATGAAGAGAGGCGCGACAACCAAATATGCTTCGAGTTCCCACTAAAACCGCAATTAGAAAACATGGTTATCTCGACGGAGTGTGGGAGGAAGATAAAAAGAAAAGAAATAAAAGCAGACGAGTTCATGACAGAAGTGGTAAAAAGCAAGCCAGGATGGGCGGTCTTATTCTCGGACAGCTTGAGATCTGAAAGAGATGAGTTTGATGGGAAAAAAATTCCCAGAATAACCGTAACCCTTATAAATCGCCTGAGGGCAGGACACATCGCTACGGGAGAGTATCTGAAAAAAATCGGGGCGATTGGGGACCCCAGTTGTAAATGCGGATGGAACAATCAAGATTTAGAGCACTTGTTTTGGACTTGTCCTTTGACAGCAGAAAGCTCAAGAAGACTTCAGAAGGTGATAAGTGAGGACACAAAAAAAACGCCACCGTTCAACATAAGAGAAGAGGCTTTCTCAGAGAATGAAAGAATCCTACGCGAAATTACGCAATTTGCAATAGATAATAGAGAAATCGCAAATATTGCACATATCTACTCAGCAGAATAGTGAGTCAAGCAGATTTGAAGTCTGGCGCCACGTCGATAGCGAGAGCTAGTGGCAAAGACTGAACGCACCCATTCTAGTAACACCATTGACTGTACGAGCACGACCCAAAGGCCAGCTGGAGCCAAGCCAGCAAAGGAAAAAAAAAACAATCAATGACAGTTCCAAAAGAATATCGTGAAAAGGTAAACAGGCTGCTGACTATTCATATAGAACAATAGTAGCAATAAAATTTTATATGTTTACAGTAGGATCCATTGGGCCCTTTTCTATCCTTCACGCTCCCACTGGAGAAGTATGCGATCTCACTCGCACTTATGTTTTTCAGTGTACTCCGCAGGTGTATAAAAATATAGTGAGTGCAAGTGAAACGGAAGAAACTGCCGTTCTCTCTCGCACTTACACTTTTTCATGCACCGCGCATGTGCAGAAGAATATAATGAGTGCGAGTGAAAAAGAGAGATATGTCGTTCTCTCTCAGCGGCAGTAACGTAAGAAATTAAAAGTCCCCCAATTCTTATTTTTGATGTATCTCACGTGGATTAAAATGGAAATCCTAGTAATAAGAGAACATAATTAATCCTAAATTTTATGCTGAATCGAATAGAAAAGAAAAAAAGAAAAATCCAATTTGAATAAATGAGAAAAAAATTAATTTGAAATTTTCAAATTAATATTAATTAATAAAAAGCTCATTAAAAAAAACCTTTGAACATATTGTCAGAGTAATAAATAAGTGCTCTGATGTGTTTTTTTAAAAAAAAAAAATTATTTGAAATATAAAATAGTTTTTTAAAAAATTCTCCGTTCCACGGTCTCTTTAATGACATATCATTAATAAACGATAAGAGATACGTAAAAAATGTATAAATACTTTTTTGTGAAAAATTTAATTTTCTACAACTTTTACTTAAAACTTTTCTCCATATTTCTAGCCGTTCTCGAGATATTAGCAAAAAAAGTCATTTTTGCACTCTTTCGCAATTTTTTTGCAAGGGTTCCCTTTCATTCAGGACCCTGATTGTTTGCATTAACATTCCTACGACCCTTACGCATATTTTCGCGTTGGTTTCATTCTCTCCGTCCAAAAGAGTAATTTCAACCTTCCATTGACTGGACTACTGTGCCCAAGCCTGCAGCTTATAACTTTGAAGCATCATGTTTTGAAATAGCGTCACTAGATGATAATTTTTTTCGACTGTTGGTAAACTAGAATGATTTGGAAACAAAATGGATTCCGTTTTTCTCAAATTTTGTCCAATGACAAAATTATTGGTTATTCGTTGTTATTATTATTATTATTCGGCGGAACAAAAGCAAAATTGCGCGGGAGAACGTATTCGAGAATGTAATATTGCACCGGAATCTTCTACGACGTAATTTATTAATAAGCGAATCATCATTGATCGTTTCTACATTGATTTCAAGTTGAAAATAGATTCAGCAAATATTATACAGTTGATGATCAGTTATTGGTGTATTAAATAATTCCAAAATGATTCCACTTTCAGCAGGAGCATTAGAAGTATGTATTAATTGTTCTAACCTTTGAAAAGTATTCTTTTTTTTAATGATTTTTTGAACCAATTTATTATAGAACATCTCTCAAGGCGTAGATGTTGATAGTCCTGTTTTACAAGTTTTGGTAAGTGTTATTTCATCCAAATTTTTAATCATATATTTAATCTGTATTTTTTACTTTACTTTTTGGTTATTTTGTTCTAGGGTACAAAAAGATTAGCTAGTTCTGATAGTGAACGTTATCGTTTGTTATTATCTGATGGAGTTACAAGCACATCCTTTACCATGCTGGCTACTCAGCTTAATGGCATGGTAAAAAGTGGAGAGTTATCAGACAATTCTATCGTACAAATTACAAGATATGCTTTGAGTAATGCTAATAATGCTGGTAAACAAAGGTTGGAGAGTTTATAAATAACTGAATTACACTTTCTTTTATTAGAATCTCCATTAACATGTATTTTTATAAATAGGAAAATAATGGTTATCCTAGGCATCGAAGTAAAAGTACCAGGAAGTCAAGTTAATGGAAGGATAGGTCAGCCAACACAAGCAGAAAAGAGTAGTTCGAATACTGGAGAAAATATGAAGCCTAATTCAACACAAAATATACCCAAAGCTACTCCTACTCCAGCTCCTAGGCCTGGTAGTGATTTTGACTCTTGTAAGGTTTAATTACATTTTTTTTCAGTGGTGTGGTGCTGGAGATCACTGGGAATTATGTCGTCTTTGAATAACAAATACACCGCAACAATAATGTTCTAAAAATTATTGGTCATAACATTTATGTGATTAACAACTATGTTTACAATTTAACATTGTTTCGTTTCAATTAGATAATTTGTATGTAGTTACTTAGTGTTTCATATTATTTATGGTTATAAGTGGTTATCAATTAATCTGTGAAAAAGTATTTTTTTTATGTTTATTTGTTTTATTTGACAAATGCTAATACAAGAAATTCAATTTGAAATATAATATTTTAGCTGGAAATGCAAATCAAAAACGACGTCTGAATGACACTATTAACTCAGGAACAGATATAGTAACCAGCCCTATTGCTGCTCTAAGTCCTTATCAAAACAAATGGGTCATCAAAGTAAGAGTTGCTAGTAAAACAGGCATTAAAAATTGGAGCAACTCGCGTGGTGAAGGCAAACTTTTTAATATGCTTCTTGTGGATGAAAGTGGTGAAATAAGATGCACTGGATTCACAGATGTTGTAGATAAATTCTATGATATGTTGGAAGTAAGTATTTCAATAGAAAATATTTAATTACGTATTCTAAGGATAATATGATTTATGAATTGGTAATGATATTTATCTTTTTTATAGGTTGGGAAAGTTTATTATTTATCACGTGGTCTGCTAAAACCTGCAAATAAAGCTTTCAATAATACTAACAATGATTATGAAATGAATTTAACAACTGATACAGAAATTCTTCTTTGTCATGATACAGCTGATGATATTCCAATGCTGACCTATAATTTTACGCCAATCAGTGAAATAGAAGCTCTTCCAAAAGACCAGATAATAGGTTTGTGAAATTTGTTTGACATGCAGTGATAATTCATTTAGTCTTATCAAATTTATCTTGCAGATGTCCTCGGTGTTGTAAAGTCTCATAGTGGAGTACAAGTTCTGACAGCACGAAGTACAGGCCGAGAGTTACACAAACGAGATTTAAATCTTGTTGATATCACCAACACATTGGTAATATTATTTTTAAAGCCATATAACTTGAAGAAAATAATAAAATCTTAAATAAAAAAAAAATTATTGTAATTATCTGTCTAGATTACTCTTAGTTTGTGGGGACAACAGGCAGATGAATTTGAAGCTTCAGAAAATTCTATTGTAGCAGCTAAAGGAGTTAAGATTGGTGAATTTAACAATGGAAAAAATTTATCTGTTATCTCATCATCAGTTATACAAGTGGAGCCTGACATTCCTGAAGCTCACAGTCTTCGAGGATGGTATAATACCGTAGGTCAGAATGAAGAAGCTAAATCTTTATCTAAAGCTGGAGGTAGCGGGCCAAATGCTGAGTGGGCTACATTACAAGAAGGTCATGATAAGAGTTTAGCTTCACCAGAAAATTCACCAGTATTCTTGTGCAAAGCTGCTATTTCTTTAATCCGTTCCGATCGTGCCTTATATAAAGCATGTCCTGTTGAAACTTGTAAAAAGAAAGTAAGATAAATTTTCCCGTTTTTGACATATGATAATTGATAATTATATTTTGTAAGTAATTTAAAATATTTTGTTGATCTCAGGTCGTTGATCAATCCAATGGCATGTTTAGATGTGAAAAATGCCAACGAGAATTTCCCAATTTCCGTTACCGTTTGTTGACGAATGTAAGTGAATTTATTTGATTAATTTATAATGTATTTCATTTTTGTAACAGTAATAATTAAAAATTTGATGGTCAAATACATATCAATGTTATTATTAGTTACATATTGCTGACTGGAGCAGTAATCAATGGGTCACAGCATTTGGCGAAGAAAGTGAAAAAATCCTTGGAATGACAAGCCAAGAACTCGGAGAGCTGAATGAAAATCAACCTGATCAATATAATGATAAATTTGCTGAAGTAGCATTCATTCCATTTCTTTTCAAGCTGTCCTTGAGAATGGAAACATATGCTGTGAGTAATGAGTTGTAACAAACCAAATTAAATAGTTTTCTACATGAACAGATAATTTCAATTTTTCATTTCCAGGATGAAGCGAGAATCAGAGGAGTTGTTAGAACTGTTGATCCAATGAATTATAAACTTTACAATAAACACTTAGCTCAAGAGCTAAAAAAACTCGCCAACGTTCATAATGTTAATTAAGAGTATTTTGAAATATTTTCTACTTATTATTATCTATTAATCATTAAAATATAAGTATTATTTTTCATATGTCTTGATTTTTTAAGTTATAAAAAAATTATTCGTTTGAAATAATTATTTAATGTCGTATTGTCAAAAAATAGTTTAACATTTTTTTATAAAAATGAAGTAAAAGATTGAAATAAATCACAAAAAATACCTTCTATAAAATAATTTATTTATTTTCTCAAATGGTGATAGTATTCATAATACATGAATCTTTCGATAACACTGCTGTTCATTCCTGAAAGTATTAGTGCAACATAAATATACATGTTAAATACGCATGTGAACTAAAGAATAATTCAAAAAATTTTTCTTCTTTGCCTTTATAGATAAGGTTTAACTTATACTTTCAGCTGTGATGAATACGATTTCACTTAACAGGTGCGACACAATCATGTTGCATTGTTTGTTCACATAGATTGTTCTTTATACTTTACATTTATGTCTCAGCTCTATATAAAACACTTATGTTTGCTAACAGACTAGTCGAAACACGATATAATAATACATATAATCTGATGATAACGATACAACATCAATAAAATTTATCTTTTATATTCATGCTAAAATAGTTATTTCTGTTTAATAGAGATTTTCAGGTAATATATCTTCTTGAGGATCAATTATAACTTATATTAATTGTAATAAACATATGATATTTCCAATTATTTTAAAAATATATAAAATTAGTGTTGTCTTTACTAATTGTACCCATACAGGGTTACTAAAATAATGTCTTTGGCCAGCACGTCATCACACTTTGCGTTAAAGCTTAGTTCTTTTTTTTTAAAAATAAAATCAGATCTGTTTCACTGTATGATAGTATCTCATCTGTTAGGATAATTCTATTAAATTACCCGTGGAAAACCTTAATAATTACACTCTGACATAAATTTACACAAACTTATTACTATCAATAGCACAAAAGAGTTAATTGGAAGAATTGTTTTTGAAGACGAAAAAATTATTTGGCTTACAAATGAAAACGTTTTAGTACCATTTGACTTAATATTGATATAATTCTTAATATTTTGAATAAAATATCTTTTGTAAATAAATTAATTAATGTCAACCTATTAAAGATAATTGAAATATATATATAGTTTTTGTAAAAGTTTAAGCAAAATTAAAAAAAATTCAATTACCAAATTAACTATTTATCTTCAAAAACAATGTATATTCATAATAAAAAGTCAGCCAACATCTAATATGAATTACACTAAACATGTAAAACCTAAACAAAATTCTTTTACGTAAGGAACAGGAGATTCCGTTAACAATCATACGTAATTATACGGGTACATGATTAAGACGGTCTAGTCGTTATAAAATGACCGGCAAAAAAACCAAAAAAATAATCATGAAACAAATACATTTTAACGATATAATGGTATAAAGTCGATAACTAAATCTATTTTATTAGAGGAAGCTCTTATTCAGGAATTAATTAAAATGGATATATTTTCTGAAGTATAATATAGATATACGAACAAAGGTGTTCGATAGTAAAGCTCCCATTTGTACATAAAGCGTTCGATATATAGAAAGTTGTCTACATGCATATTTTTAATGGACAATGCCCATAGAATTCATGCATGTATATGTACAAACATAATACATACTCTAATGGGAAGTGATTTCCACATCAGATCAATCTACTTTCACGTTTACGCGTTTTTATGGTTTTTAAAAGTAATTTGTAATCAAATCTTTTATAATTAATTACTTTTCATTGGTCAAGATAAATTGTTCATGATTTTTATGAATTTTATAATATATAATTGTATTACTTTATAGTATTATTCTCTCTTTTCTTCGTCACTACTACTGTGCGATGATTCGGAATTTAAAAAAATTATAAGTTAACTTTAAAACTCGTATTAAACTTTTATACCTTTATCAGTAAGTTTAGAAAAAATTGTAAAGAACAGTCACAATATCTTTAACGAGAATGCGACAAAATTTTAGTAAAATTTTTTATATTGGTGTATAAGTTATTTAAAATTTGATAGTTGAAAAAGTGCAACATTTTTCAATTTATTGAATGCGTCTTTTCGTTGCCCTGCTCACTTTAATAACATATTTGTTGCACTTTAATACGTCGAAAAAATGATCAATCGGTTGATTATATAAATCGTAAAATTGTGTAGGTGTATATTAAATATAATAAGTATATAGAATATTTTGGATATGATATTTCAAAAGTGAGCTAAGCACCAAGGAAATAATTCCTTACAAATAATGAAAGGTCTTCAAAATAAAACGGTGAACCACACTTTCGATTAACCCGTTGTCATTTCTTTTGATTCTTCAATCATTTACTTGTTCCTGCAAGCTAATGATGTTGACGATTACCTTCTTTGTGGTTTACAGGTGGTGTTGCTGGGGTTGGATCATCGTGAAACAATGGATTCTTTACTTCCATTTCTCCAGCCTTCATGAAAATAAATTAGTCAGAAGATTAATATTTTCATGAGTTAAGTTAATATAATAGATAAATGAATATATAACTTACAGGTGCAAGACCAGGACATTCGTATACAGTGTAATCTCCTTCTTCATTTTCCTCATCACTTTCAACTTCAGACACAGAACCAGGATCTCTTGCAGCAGTTCTACATTAAAATAAATTGGCAATTAATTTTTAAAGCTACTACAAAATTAGAAATAAAATCTGACAAAAATGTTGCTATCAATTCTAAAAGTTTCATTTAAGTTATAATCTTATTATACTTTTTAATAATAGTGAAGCTTTTAAAAATAATAACATAGCTGCTTTATTTAATTTGAGAAATTTATCTTAATAAAAAGAATCAAAGTATCGAAGCTGATAAAAGTATGACCCAATTTTTGATTTCTTTTTTTGCGAATGAAATTAGATTTTCATGATAGAAAGTTTAAATATTACAGAAATTGTAGAAAATAATTTCTGGTTCTGTGATATATTTGAATAATATGTAATCTAAAATAATAATGAAAACTTGCATAGATTAGTACAATGACCTAATAACAAAAATCAATAAATAATTACTTACTTCTCCATAGCTATGATTTGTTGCTTTTGATGCTGAAAGTGATACATTTGAGCTGAATGAGCGAGTCTCTGGTCCCCGGACGGCAAAATATCTTTATTTGGACCTGTCACTCCATAAGCTGGATATTCAATGTCTGCTGCTGCTTTAGCACCGCGTTGTAATCTATTAATACGATTTCTCATTTTACTACTGAACTAATTATTAGAGAATTTTTTTAATTTCCAGATTATGAAAAATAATTACCTGCACCAGGTGAGGCCTATAAGAACTAGCGCAAACATTGCAGCTGCACTACAGCCGGCAACAATAGCTAAAATCCCATCATTTATTACATTAATTACTCAATCAATTTAATGAGAACATTTGAATAAATAATTTAATCTCCTTGAAATAATGTCTTGAATTTCGACTGAAGGTCATAACATTAATTATTTTGAATGATAAATTGATTGATCAAAATGATCAAAGAAATTAAAAAAAATTCATTTAATATAAACAATCAATTATACTGATTAAATTTTTTAACATTTATGAATATTATATAATATATTTATAGTAATTAACATAGGATTTCTAAATCTAAAGGCTAGTTATAGCATTAATTAATAAATAGATTTGTTTATTAATAAATGTGGTATTTAATGAATGATTCATCATATTAAATCACTCACCTATAAAATAAACATCGTTTGATAATTTATAATTAGATGGTGTTATAATAGGATCTTGATTCGTTTGTCGTTGAGGTTCAGACAGTAATCCTTTGAAATGAGAAAATTTACTGTTGTCAACAGTATCACTTTCCGAGCGAGGAAAATTTATCTTATTTTCATTCGATGTTTTTTTCTTTTCGCCATGACCTTCAATATCTTGTGAAGGATTCTCAATCGAATCCGAACTTTTTTCTTCATTTGCTATAACTATTGGTTCTTCTTCATAATAACGTGGATCGTTTGGCTTCACTGCAAAAGTATTTATTTCGTTCAACTTAGGATCATTGAAACTATACGTAAACTCTGGCTTATTTTCAGTCAATCTAGGGACTTGCTTAAAATTTTCTTGCAACTGCGAAACATCAGCGTTTAATATTTGGTCTTCAAGATTTCCCAATGGATTATTGTTCAGATCATCAGCTTCAGGATTTTCCCATCCAGGGAAGTTTTGTCTTATGGGAATACGTTCAGGGTTATTATAATAAACTTTTTCATTGATTTCATTATCTGAGTAAGGTACATTGACTTGTGGATATTTAAAATTGCGGGATGGAGTTCCTAAATTGACATAAGAACGATCACGCTCAATTGATCGAGGGTATTGTTGTATATAATTGAATTCAGACGACTGTACAGGATAATTTAAATTCTCCAACTGATCTCTTCTCAGTGATTCCAACATTTTTTGGTGTACATATTCTCGTAAGTCATCCACATATATTGGTGGATAGAGATGTGAGATATGGGGACGGTGCAAAGCATCTCGGTAACCTTGAGACTCCAAGAATCTTTCTAGATATTTGAGATTTACATCTTCTGAAGGCTCTGATTCAACATCTGTAAATGTAAGAGAAATTCATGTATTATTAATCAGTTAATAATTTATTTAGAATTATTTTTTTTTACAAATACTTAAGTGGCGTTTTAGTTGCCATTTGATTATTTGAATTTTAATCATTCATTTAAAATTCTCTTTTGCTTAGGATTAAGAAGTATTGAATTTATGAGGATTAGTCCCCTATACGAATGAATCAACAATATGTTGCTTTGTGTCACTTTTTTCAAAAAAATCAATTCTTTTAGAAGCTTTTTCTGATCAAGAAGCACCGCATTTTATTGTCAATTTGATATTATTTTACTACCTCATACAAAAAACAAAATATTGGACGTGTCTGTGTTCATAGAGCAAGGTTTTAAAAAAAAGCTCAACTAACTTAGGAATAATTTTTTTATATTTATAGCCACTATTTTCTTTTCTACACGTAGATAATGTAGTGAACACAAATATAAGTTATAAAACTTTCATCTTTAAATTGAATACTGGAATTATGACTAAAAAAACAATTATGCAAGAACAAACACTAGCTTATAAAAAAAAATATATATTTAGTATTTTCATAATTGATTGAAACCGAATGATTTACTCAAATAGTAAAATGCATAAATATTTAAATGAACAATAGCAATCGATTTGACACTAATTATTATGGAAGCAACCTATTAAGGTTGAGTATAACGGTTATAAATATTTTATTGACCACGGTAGCTTTTAGACAAATGAAATAAATAATCCGTCTGTTTATGAATCGTCACAAGTTTTTATTATATATAAAAAAAGTACTTTTTATATTTAAAAATAAATAATTTTCAATCTGTTGAGTTGAAAACGGAATAAATTACAGCAAATTAACACTAATTAGTTTTAATGCTATAATGAAAATGAATATCAGCTGTCATTAACCCTATGTATACGTAGAGAATGTTATGTAGACATTTTAATGAGACATGACCTCTGAAGAATGTTAGTTATACTCACCCTGATAATATTCAAGTTCACCGGTGGAATGATTTACCAGAAGGACAATAACCAAGACGAGAAGCTTGCAGGTCGGAGGGTCAGATTTCATCCTCGCGACACTACACTAAATTTGGAATATAAAGGCGTCCACAGCTGGTTCGATTCACGCCTCTGTCTTCAACACTTTTTAGTTTCATACAAAAGCGCGTCATTCATCGAATCTGAAGAGACTTGCGCGTTCAAGAATGCTAACTAACGACATAATCAATACGACACCAAAAGTTGTGAATATAACACTGTTAGAAAGCAACATGCAACTGTGTACAAAACTTTTTTTCCACTTTTATATTGACCTCCTGGCTTCCTTAATAATGATCCATTGGTATGTGAAAGATATTTGTTATTGACATCGGTGTAAATAAATTAAATGTCACAAGTTTAAGGAGATAGAAAAAGAGTGTGCTTTTTTTTACTTCCAACCACCAGCTCCGGCTTCCTGTTTTACTGAACGAATAAACACTTGTGAGCGATTACAGCGAGTCAACGGAACTATTGATAACGCTAGATAACAACATAATTATACTTTTCATTTTTTGCAAAATATTAGAAAGAAATAATTCTTTTCTTTTCTTTCATTGTTAGAAATAATCAATACGACTTTTTTTATCCTATGAAAATATTTATTTAGGATTTAAACAAGTCATGTTATTTATTAAGTATATATATTAATAATTTTTAAAATTTATCTTTAAAAGTAGAAAGGCTATGCCATTAAAAAAGACATTAGATACAAAATTTCAAATATTAATCAGAGCTGTAAATATTTAGTTGTGGACTGAATTTAAAAAATTTAAAGTTTCCCGCATTTTTTACATTTTTTACCAACGTCGACAGTTTATTTCACCGGCAAAATAGATTTTATCACAAGTCGATATTTTTATTGGAATAATTGAAAGGTTATGTTGTGTTCTTTTATTGACATGTGTTGAACACAGTACATATAAATATTAATTTTTTTTTCAATAAATTATGATCATTTATTAATATGACAAGTAACAAAAGTATCATCGAATAAATTTGATGATAAAACATTAAAAGTATAACTCTACTGTCCAATAGATATTTTACATTTAAACATGTTAAAAAATATATATCTACCTTTGAAATTGCAAGCACGTAAGGTAATATTAGTTTATAATCAATAATTATTCGCATAATTACTATTAATAGCATATATTAAATAAAAATATATGATATATCCGTATAAGAATGAATCTGTTTGATAGATTATACTTGATCAATTTATAAGTTTGATTTTTACAGACTGCAGCAACTGCTACAGCATCTACAGCACAAATAAAAAGTTCGAAGCGAAAAGTAAAAGTAGAATTAGATGAAAAAATTAGACAACAAATTCTCAATGATGAATTAAAACCCAAAAAACAACCAGGAACAGCTCATCAAGTTGCACTTCATTTACCAGAGTGGCTGTGTAAAGCAGTAAGAACTCTTGGTTCAGGTAACATGCAAACAACGTAAAATATTCATAAATTTAGACTAAAATTTTCAAATAACATAATCAATCATAATATTCTATCTAGAGACTTGTATGCCATCATTCGAAGATGAAATACTGGTACTTCATCGATATTTACATAGTCGACAACCTCCAAGTTATCAAGCCCATGTACAGAAAAAGTTTTCAGAAATTATTAAAGAATTAACAGAACGAGTAGATTTTGAAGCGGTTACATCTGAAAATATGGAAGAAATCGAAAATAAAATTGAAGTAGATGCTCATACAAAATTAAAACAATCTGTATACAATTGGCAACCTATTGAATATACTTATCAAAAAGGCTTGACATATTTGATTGCAAGAGGAGGACATAATTATGCAGCTTTGTATACAATTTTAAGCGAAATCAAAAAACGTGATCCTTCATTTATTCCCAAAACTTTATTTGATTTTGGATCTGGTGTTGGCAGTGTATCATGGTAAAAAATTTTTGTATTCATTTCAATATTTATTGAATAAATTCAAGTTAATAACATATTTTTTTCTATGTAGGGTTGCAATGACTTTGTGGCCAAAATCTATCAAAGAGTATCTTGGTATTGAAATTTCTGAACCGATGATGAAACTTGCACAAAAAATCATCAATATGTCGGACACACCCATTCAAAATGTCTTCTTCAAACAATACTTCCCAGTTGCCTCGGTAAAATTTTCAATTATTTTATTCATTACTTTTTGAAAACGACTAATAGCTTTTTGATAACTTTTTTACAGCCATCTTATGATCTTATTGTTAGTGCATTTTCTTTACTTGAATTACCAACTAGAAGAAATCGAATGGAAACTGTGCTCAATCTATGGAGAAAAACTGCTCGCTATTTAGTGATTGTAGAAGAAGGAACTACTGCAGGTTTTGCGGTTTGTATTATCAATTACATTATTTTAGTTTGATTAGATCAATTATAAGAATTATATTTTTTAATATTGTAGATAATAAATGAAGTGAGGGAATTTTTCTTGCGTGTAGTAAAATCTCATACTGAGAAAGGAATGTATAAGGCATTCATTTTTGCTCCAGTAAGTATCAAAATGATTCTACTCCTTGATTATTCATTTTATCAATTTTTAATTCGCTTCTATATTTTCAGTGTCCTCATCAATTACCGTGCCCAATGTTTCAAACCAGAGATACAGCCTGTAAATTCAATGCTTCTTTTTTTGCTCTTCCTTATTGGAAAATGAAGAAAAATCACGTACTGAACACTCAATTCACATACATAGTTTTAAAGAAAGGTAATTAATCAATTACTCTTTTCGCATTTGAGATGATTATCATCGATTAACCGGCAAGCAATTTAATTGATGAATGTTATTTATGTCAAGATTATTATTGTTAATGATTAATTATTTTCTGATTATTGCGACCATTGTTCTAGGCAGTGATAAAACAGAAGAAGATGAATGGCCTAGATTAGTACAGCCTGTACTAAAAGGATCAAAACGGGCAATATGTCGAATGTGTACTGCAGAAGGCAATTTACAGGAAATTACTTTTACTAAATCTAAACATGAAAGGTACAATATTTTTACAATATTTTTGATTTTATAACAATTTATTAATTTCGTCCAAAATTTCCAGACCACTATTCAGATGTGCCAGGAAAAGTCACTTGGGAGATAGACTTCCAATTAAAATTTTTAATGATGTTAACGCATCAGAGACGTCTGACAATCTTGAAATGAATGATGAAGAATTGAATTCAGATAATGATGATTACGACGATGATGAAGAACCGATAGATAAAAAATAAAATAAATAATTTTTTTTACTGTTCAATTAAATGTTATTCAATACTTTTTTTATTTTTTTTTTTTTTTTATTTAAAGCATTTAAAAAATTATAAAAAAGGTTCATCAAGCAGAAGAGTCGAAAATTTCATGTACATAATTTTTACAAATAAGTTAATCATTTGTATGATGAAAAAACATTTGTAGTTACATCAGTAATTGTTAATATAATTTATAAATACATGAATATGAAGTTTTGTATTTATTTAGATGTGTAGTGTTAGAACGAAAGGGTGTAAAGTGAATGTGTGGGTTCCCATCAATTCATTTCTCCTTCCAATGTTAAACTGTGTTGAACTTGTTATGTACCCCCAAAGATTTAAAAGCAGCTTCGCCAGAATTTCTCATACAGTTTCACTTATAAGATGCAAGACGTAGTTTCTTCGGAAGTTAGGTGAGTTTTTTTTATTTTTATCATTATCAAATTAATTTGATTTCAATTCTTATTTTTTAACTAATTATTAGTGTAATTAAACTATTTTTCCGAAAAATCAATTAAATATTTAATAAGAATCAATTGTATTAAAGAAATGATTTATCTCACTCCCAGAAATTAATTCAACTAATACTCGGAAGTTGATTAGAATTCTAATAATACAATTTTATTATTTGCTTTCATTTTATAACTATTGTAACTATTAATTATTATGTAAAATTTAAACAGAATTGGATATAACATAAATTTATGACATCGCAGTATTACATAAAAATGAACTGTTATTGAAAATAAGTACTTTTGACGACTAATGAACCGTATATATGACTCTTTCCGCTGTCAACTTTCTCTCACAAGATTTGCGGATTTCACTTTCTTTGATAGAAGTAAATGGGCCTGATACTTTTGCCCCGGAGTCCAGAGAATATGTTGAGGACCGTTACGCAAACTTGATTAACTCTCCAGACAACTAATTTTTTTTTTTTGTGAGAAAAAAACTTGTTGTTACGTTCATTAGTTATAATGCTATTTTCATGTTTATTCCATTATATTTTTTCTTTCATTCATCTTCATAGAAAGTTCAGTTGACATTTTATTTTTTTCTCTTATTTGTTTTACACCAACAATGTACAATAAATCTAGAGTTATATAATGTAAGAGTTCAAATTTATTCTGCGGTGAATAATGTTTATTGAGAGAGTTTATTCGATGGTGTTTTCATTTTTCTCTCATTTAAAAAAAATACATTTTTACTTTATTTCAGTAATATGATTCCAATAGCAGCATTGGGTATCATTATACTAACTCTTATATTTTATCTTGGAACATTAAAACCTAAAGGATATCCACCTGGTAAAATATTCAATAATTTTGTATTTAAGTTTCACTTAATTCACGTGAAAGAGAATTTTTCATAAGTATTTTGAAATGATTTAGGTCCACGATGGTGGCCAATACTAGGTTCTGCTTTAGAAGTAGCACGAATTAGAAAGAAAACAGGATACTTAAATAAAACTTGCACAGTTCTTGGTGAAAAATATGGCCCTGTTGTAGGATTAAAAATAGGTAATGATCGAATTGTTGTGCTGAATGATTTAGAGAGTATGAAGTCCATGTTAATGAATGATGATTGTGATGGAAGACCTGTTGGACCAGTTTATGAAGCCAGAACTTTCGGAAAAAGATTAGGTAAACCAAAAATAACGATTTTGTTTTGTTTAATTTTGTTTAACTAAAAAATTTTTCCTCTAGGAGTTCTTGTAACTGATGGAAATTTGTGGATTGAGCAAAGACGTTTTGTTCTTCGCCATTTACGTGATTTTGGATTTGGAAAAAATAATATGGCAACAATGATTGAAGAAGAGGCTTCGTATTTAGTAAATAATTTGATGAAACGCCTTGAAAGTGAGAACTCCAATCGGATAATTGAAGATGATATAAAATTAAATCATAATACCAACAATTCTGGAAGAATATATCAACTTACTAATCACGAACTGAAGCAAAAACATCCTCTTAACTGGAATCAAGGTTCTGATATTTTAGGTCAAAAAGATTTAAAAAAATCGATAACTATTGAAGACATGTATGTTAAAGCTGAACAATATGATGATGTTCGCAAGGTTTCAAGATCTCCAGAACTCATTATTCAGATGGATGATGTTTTTGGAGTTCCTATTCTCAACACTTTATGGAGAATGATGGCTGGAAAGCGATTCAATCAAAACGATAAACAACTTAATCATTTACAGAAAATTCTTACTACTTTATTAAGAGAAGTAGACATGATTGGTGGTTTGTTTGGTCATTTTCCAATCTTAAGATACATTGCACCTGAAGCTTCTGGTTATAAAAAATTTATAGAGACTCATCAAGAATTGTGGGCCTTCTTAAATGTAAATGATCTTCTGTTATTTTTCTTTGTTTTTTTGCGTATTTTTTTTCCTATTGCATTAATGTATTTTATTTATTATTTTTACTACAGGAAGAATTAATAGAGCACAATAAAAAATTTGATCCAGATGTTCCAAAGGATTTGATGGATTGTTATTTAAAAATGTTAAAATCAGAGTGTATAGACGAAACCTTTTCAGAACCACAGCTCTTAGCTATATGTGTTGATTTATTTATGGCTGGCTCCGAAACGACCACAAAAGCATTAAACTTTTGCTTTTTATATTTGGTACTTTATCCAGAGGTCCAGAAAAAAGCACAAGAAGAAATTGATCGAGTCATTGGTCGTGATCGGTTTCCAAGTCTGTCTGATCGACCAAGGTAACAATAATTAACTCTAATGTAAATCAACTGTTATTCAATTGAATGCTTTAGTAACTCTACAATATTTTTTTAGAATGACTTACGTGAATGCTATAAGTTTAGAATGCATTCGAATTTTTATGGGAAGAACAATGAACATTCCTCATCGTGCACTGAGAGATACTTTTATACAAGGCTACAGAATACCTAAAGTATCAACGATTTTGCACTAAAAATTGTATATATACATGCTTGGTTTTTTATTAATTTTATATAATTTTTAGAATACTATGATTGCTGCAAACTTTAGTAGAATTTTGATGGATGAGTCTTGGGGTGATCCTGAAGTTTTCCGTCCTGAAAGATTCATCGATTCTGAAGGAAATATTACTGTTCCTGAACGATATATGCCATTTAGTATTGGTTAGTAAATTTATAAAAAAAATTAAATGAAACAAGTAGATAATTCTAACTCAATTCTTTTAGGAAAACATAAGTGCATGGGAGAAGTGTTGGCAAAAAGTAATATTTTTGTTTTTACTGCTGCTCTTTTACAAGCATTCACATTTTCCGTAGTTTCTCCAGACGAGAAACCATCAACTGAATTTGAAGATGGTGTTACAGCAAGTCCACTTCCATTTAAAGTATTGATTAAAAGACGAGTTTAACATGATTTATATAGCAATAAGTTACTGTTATTTCTGTTTATTAGTTAAGTATAAGTATAAAGTTAATAATTAATTCTTATTGCTGAACTGTTCTCTAAATAGTCCTTCATCAATCCTAGTCACACTCGACCATGGACAATTCAACAAATCTCCATGAAGAAATTGTTTTTTAATAATTTAAAGTTTTTCAAAAATTTTGGTTTTTCAATTCATCACATTCTTTATTGTAAATTAAATGTTCCAGAGTACACAAATATACATAATAGTTATAATTATTATGACACATATTAATTCCAAATATGAAAATGTTTAATTTTATATTTACTTTGTTATATATTGAGTAGTACGGATTTTTAAAAAATCAAATAATGTTGATACAATACGAAACAACCAGTCTTATTAAAAAAAAACTTGAAATTATTCAAAATTGTTGTTCTACATAATTACTCAATGCTATTTGTTAGAACTCAGATGATGAAAATATTTATGTAAAAAAATAACAGATCAGATCAGATAATAAAAATTAAAAAATGTAAGTATTGGTTTTAAACTTGAAAAATGAGTAGAGAAAATGAGATGAGAATTAAGTCATTAGATTTCAACTCTTAGGTAAAAATCTTATCTAAATCAACTCTAGAGAAGTTGATAAACGTCTGAAGAGTCTGTAGCTAAGAAAATTGCTGAAGCAAGGTAGAAAATAATATCTTAGCTGATTAACTAGACAGATAGTAAAGTTTGCATTTCAATATATAAATAGCTTTAAATGTGTTAATTAACTGTTTGAGAACTTAACAATAAAAAACATTCAACGGATATTAAAAAAATGTAACCATTAAATCTATTTTTGTTATATTTTAAATAGTGAACTCTTTAGTAATTATCTAAAACCCTGTCTCATAAAATGAAATGCACAGTGTTCATTTTTAGCTTACCAATATTTAGATTTTTTTAATTTTATAAATTTGAAAGTCTTTTGGTTTCAATTGCACCATTTGATGTACAATATTTCATTACATATAATATTAATTTATAAATATGTCAATGTACTTTTCGTATATTTTATTAGTACATAAATATGTATATTTAAAACAGTAAAATATTCAATACGATTAATAATTTAGTGTTAAAAATATACTATGAATTTACAATCTCTGTAAAAATAAACCTCTAAGCAAAAAACAGTGATTTTGTCATAAATGAAAGCAAATGCTTATTAGCAATAAATTAACTCTTAACAAAATTCTGTGGGTTGACAGTAAAAATTCTACCATTTCGCTAGGATTAATTTACAATTAAAATTTTCGAAAATCAAAAGCATTTCGTAAAAATAAAATGTAACAATACATACAACAGTAAGTAAAATTTTTGAAAATATTAGTTAATCAACAATAGTCTTTATGCCTAAACAACAAGTTTTATCTAAATCGTGTTATTGTAAAATAATCAAGTTTTTTTAATTCCTTTGATTAACAGGCACTTAAATATTTTTTCATTGATTGTACACTGTAGCAGCCACGTAATTATGGAATATTTTTATATATAATAATAAAGTATTATGGTCATTTTTAGCATATTTTTAAGCACATTGGTAGTGAATAGATAATAAATATTATTTGTAAAATTTAATTTGAGAATTTTCAATGTACTGGATAACGATATTTACCTCCACTTTCATTTGGTTGTCATCTAGATTCATCTTCCACTATATGAATCTATTTGAAAAAAGTTTTGTTATGAAACAAATTAAAATTTTATCAAATGGTAAATAGATTTAAATACTAATGATCTTACCTCTGACAAAATGGCCCAGTTTTCACTTTCACTATGAACAGTTAGCCTGATTGCGGTAATTTTTCCCAATTTGCGATCTACTGTTCCTTGAGCAATTCCAAGATTGTCGAATTTACCTAATATCAAAATATAATATTTTATTTGGGTATAAAATATATTATAGTTGGATGAAAAATGTATTTCTGAGGTTTTTTTTTACCGATAATAACATAACCGTCTTCAGTTACATCATCATTGTTTCTATTTACAGCATTAGAGAATTCTGGTAACACTTCTATCGTCGTGTTGTAAAATTTGTCTGAAGGATGTTCTGGATTTCCACTTCTAAAGAGGAATCTAAAAATAATATCCAATTTTAAAAATGATTTCTATGAATGAGAATCAATTTAGATATTACTGATGATTTTCTTACTTTTTAATAAATATTGGCTTCGAAAATTTGAACTTCAAATGGTTTCCTGCTTGAGGCAAAAGACCCCAAAAAAAAGATTCACCCTTGTATGCTTTGGTCAAAGTGTATTGTTTATAAACATTTATTTCTGATTCTACAGTTGCATCCGGATTTTCATGAGGATAATATAATGTAATTTTTCCGAATTGTTTATCCTATTTATTTATAAAAAATCATTTAATCATTTCTTGACAACTATTACAGTAAAATTAACTTCCACAAAAAATTATTTACTTTCAACTTTTGTACTTTTCCTTTTAATGAAGAATGAGTTCCAATGTGTTGGAATAGAGATGGCTTATAATGCAGCCATAATTCTGCTTTCGCTATTTTACAATGTTTCTGTAAAAATCAATTTTCTGATAATTAAAGTCTAGCTTTAAATAATGAGAAATTCATTTTATTTCATTTCTTATGACTTATAATTCCAACTGAATGCCCGATAAAAAAAAATACTAAAACATCTCTCACGGGTTTATAAGATAATGTATTGTGAATAGAAGCATGAGTCATGAAAGAATTTTAATATTTTATCTATTCTTATTAATGTTTGTAGATAAGAGTGGTTATCATTTTGTGTCTAGCAAAAAATTTTAAAATGCATCAGACTCTGTGATTTTTGTGATCATTATTATCATTATAAACTTATAAACTTTTTTCATTCAGATAAAAGAATCATTCACGATAAAAACTCAGATTCACTTGTTTTATTTCATTTTGTGGTTATAGTAAGCGTGAATTCTTATCAATTCATAGTGAAATAATCTGTAGGTAAACAATGTTTTTTCTTTAAATTTTTCACACAACACAAAACCTTATTAATTCGGAGAAAAAAAAAACTCAAGTTAAAATAATGTTTGACTTACACTATCTTTGTCTAAACTGCAAACTTTAGTAGAAATTAAATGATCCAAAAGCCAATCCACTGGTTTATCATTGTGGAACATTAAAAAAAATTGCACTAACCAATGCAATTCTACACATTTGAAAAGTTTTCCTACGTTGAAGAAAAATATTATAATTTATATCACTTTAAGAAATTATTTTTAATAGCTTATGAAAATATTAAACATATATTCACCTATAAATCCCAGCTGGCAAAAATCTAGAACAAACCAATTCTCTTTTTGACTGATTTTCTGTAAAGCGTATGTTTTCATAGTTTTAATAAAATTCTTCTTTGCCAAAATATCATCTTCTAGTTGTACATAAAATGTTCCTTTGGCTTGTGCATAAGACATTAAGTAAGCAAAGTCTAAATTCTGTTTCGACCTCCATACCACACGTTGATGGTCATCTCCAAGAGTATCTTTAAGTTTACTTAAGTCTGGATAATAAGACGGTGATGGCGATATAACTTCGATAAGTCCCGCTTCTGATTCCCAAGGAAACTGAACTTCTATTTGTTTCGCAACATAAGTTACATAATCTAAGTCTGTCTCAGCTACTAATACAATTATCACCGTATCAGCAGCTTCCTCGGGTGTCATTGAATCTAATAAATTCTTTAGAGTTGCTAATAGATAACTTTGCACTTCTCTTTTAACTGTTGGAATGCCTAAAACCATACTGACTCCTGTTCTGCCTTTACTCTGAAGAAAAGCTGGTCTTAAGCTGTTGACATCATTGAGAAAATGAGGTAAAAAATTATATATTGATGGCAATTTAATATTTGTTATGTTTGAAGTCCCATTATTAAAAAGAAACTGGAGATCTGGTAAAATATGATTATTTTCAGTCATCGTAAGTAATTGATGGGACAGTAAATTAATCTCTTCTTGAGTAGTAATGTATTTAGATTGAAGATGCTCCAATTTAGCTTGAAGCTCGGCAATTTCATTTTGTAATACTGTCTCTTCAGTTAAATCTGGAGTTGAAATGAGATTCAAAATAACACATGGCACTAATATTACCACCAATATGATTAAGAAACGTTTTCTTATCGGTGCTACGGTTATTTTATGAGCTATCATTTTTTTTGAGTATTAACTGCATGGTTTATGAGTTACTATGTATTTTTTTAAGCACTTTAAAATATTCAAGCTCTGTATGAAGCCAATCAATCTATAATATGAAAAAGAATGAATTAGCAAATGAAATATTGTACACACTCATTAGAGTAATTGTAAGGTTTATCTATAAAACTGACCATTTTTATGTTGAGTTTGAATTTTTATGTCCATCGTACATTTAATTATCTTCTTTGTTATGACTACTAAATGTTTTTTTCAGTGTTTTTTTCTTTATACGTATAATTGATAAAAAAAGATTGACAGATAATCCGATAATTAACCTTGTTGTCGTGAAGTCTTAAGAAAAAATAATTTTGTTGATGATACATCAGGTAAAAACTAATTATGTTAACTGATCACCGACGTAGAGAGACGTCTTATAGCTGTCATTCCATGACGTACTGGCAGTGATAAATTTTTTTTATTTTGCGTGTAAAACTTTTATTGGTTTGAAACTCGTTTAAAACTATTTATTCAGCTATGTACATATCAAATATAAGTAATTGTTTTCTAATCACGAAATTGACTCTGAAAGTTTCTAAACAATTTTTCGTATATATATACACCATATCTTAAAATAATATTTGTACGTCATCTGTCAAAAAAAATTGTCAAATTTTGTTGATAACAAAGTTTTCTTCTCAATCGGTAATTGATTAATTGACTGTCGACATATTCTAGATGTTATTATGCAATTATGTCATAGGTTGTGTTAGTGTTTCATTCCGTGTTAGTGTATCAAAAGCATCAGTTAGTTTAAAGTGAACAAATATCCCAAAATAAAAATTATAGATTATTATAAAATTACTATTATATTTCATAATGTGTAAGTATATATAGTGATAAACAAAACAATAAACTCAATGAAAACTTTAATTCCAGATCAGTAAAGTTAATTACAACGGTTGTCCATTAAATAGAACTAAGTCTTTTTCATGAGGTTTGATCAATTTTATCTATTATATTCTAATAATTTATTAAATAATGAAGTCAGTTTTCGTTATCGATTTCTATTCTGTCGAATTTAAGTATAATAAGTACTAATTACAAATGTGCATATATGTATAAATATGTATAATAAGTATCAAAATTTCAAGGTATTGATGTTGAGTTTTCTTGAAATAGGATTATCTATTCTCTACTTATTTATTCTTTTTTCTTTTTGATTGTTGCTTCATTAGGTCTATATGCTCTGAAACAGAAAAATTTGAAATTTTTGTTGACAGAATGCAATCAAGTTATGCAAATATTATTGCTTACTTATTGATTATTTTGCTATTTAGTTGTCTTATAATAAATCTCTTTTCGATTCTTCTGAATGGACCTTCCACAAGTAGTGCAAGAATGAATGACAAGAAGAAAGACATTCCAATATCTGGCACTAAATCCCACAACTATAAATTTTTTATTTCAATTTTAATTAATCCGTTCAAGAGTATTATTTAAATAAATTACATTTATTACATTACACATTACAATGAAAATGTGTCTTATACGTACGATATTATGAGCTGAAAAAGTTCTTGCATGACGAGCCACTCCAATATCATAACTTTGATTGATATGATGAATTAAATATGCTCCGTAAGTTAATCTAGACATTGGTTGGGCCCATCGTGGTTTGAAGTACCTATAACTAGAACCTATATAAATTGTATTAGTGAATCATTATCATGTTGCTGAGATAAAAAAATTATCTAAAATAGTCGTATAGATTAGCTTACAGAATCCATTATCAATAGTCAAAAAGATCACTGCAGAAACAACTGCTAATGCAAAAATAGGTCTGCATAAGCTAGCATAAAGAGCAGTTTCAAACGATGATGGATTAATATTGGGGTTATAAAATTTCTGTCCTAATATTTGTGACATTATTCCCAAAAGAACAGTTATTGAGATGAATGGTACTTTCAATAAATACTAAAACAATTTTTTTAATATAAAAACAATTGAATATTTTTTCCATTTATATTGAATTTCAATTCCAGTATCTAATAAACTTACTGTTGGAATTGTTTTAGGAGTTAAACCATAATCGTAGATAATAGCTCCAGCTAAAACTCCAACAAAATAAGTAGCTAATCGCTCATGTGTTTTTATGTAATGTTGAATGAAGTAAGGATCATCTTTTACTTCATGCATGCTAAAAAATACCAACAATAGTATCTATTGCATTTAGATAATGTTTGAATAACAAATCTACTTACTAAGGTAATCCTTTAAAGATAGGTTGAACATTATTAAAATAAGTTATGCAAAACGGTATTAAACATCCTAATAAAATAATGGCAACAATAAATGGGTATCCAAGTTTTCTTGGCATTTTCCAAAAATAATAAATAACAAACAAAGCAATTATATATAAGTGATAATCCACAGAAAGGTACCATGATTGGAACATACACTAAAAAATTGTAGAATAATGATGATAACATATTTATCTTCAAATTTGAATGATCAATGTAAGTAAATTTTTTCACTTTACCAATTTGTCAGTATTAACATAATTATTGATGTAGAGAATATTTGCCCACCAACTACTGGCACATGCTTCGCTTTCAAATCCTATTTTATAATTCCAATAAGGTCCTGAACCAAGATGAGGTAAAATTAACGTTATAAACATTATAAGTATGAGATATGATGGTGTTAATCTGTCAAACAAAAAATCAATTAATATAATTACTTATCACAATAGAAATTATAGAATATATATAAATTTTTTATCACTTGTCTTACCTAAAATAGCGAATTAAAATTGCTGATATGAAATTGATATTTTTCTTCTTATCCAATTCAATTAACAGATGATAGGCAAGTAATAATCCTCCAAATGCAAAGAAAGCTTCAACTATTATTGGACCATTGTAGATCAAAATTGAAGATTCAAATGTATAACTCTAAAAACAATCAGTAATTAAAAAAATTTAAATGTAATATTCATTTTATATGATCAAGACTTACTTGTTCTAAATATTCAGAATTGACAATTGGATTTGTATAATATTGCATCATTCTATGACCAACAATAGCTATGCACATGTAAATAGTACGAAGTAAATGAATGCTATCGAGTCCTGGATGCTTATATGATACTTCTGTTATGCTTTTATAATTACGACTAGCAGAAAAACAAAGTAAAATTTCCACTAAAAATGATTTACTATCTTCTTCACGAACTTTTCCGATTTTATCATACCAAGTACTCATTATTACTAAGACAATGAGACTTAGAAGTCCATAACTGCATTGATGAATTTTTTTAAAATTTTATAAGATTATCAATTATAAGATCAATTTAAAATCGAATAATAGTTTATAATCAATTACCAGTAAATTTTGGCCAAAGTAGAAAACTCAGGTTCATCTTTTCGTGTTTGACAATGACCTTTTATTCTAACATTAATTAGAATTTGATGTTCAGTAGCAAATTTTTCTAGTGGTTCTTGTAAAGCTGTTTCAATTTCTGTTTCATGGCAAGTGTCTGGTACACAAAGTGCTAATTCCAGCTTGTAACGTTTCACTCGACGAAAATCCCCCTTTTCCTGAAAAGCAATTATTCATTATTTCACTTAATGATTAAATTAACTCCACTTTTTCACTAGAAATGATTTTTCAAAATTAAACCAATTATTAAACATAAATTTAAAAAAGACATAAATAGCAGAGGACATTAGTTCTATTGGCGAAAAGAAGAAACTCATCATTTTAAAAAACGAAGACCGCTTCAATATTGTCGAGGCCATTTACCTTAGCTAAAATTAATTTTGTTGTATTTGGATTCATTTGAATAAAACTGACGGGCTCGAGTACATTTACCTTTAACTCGAGAAATCCATTGACTAATTCATATAATATTTAACTCCATAATTTATTCACTTCGTAATCTCCAACCTTCATCTTTTAACCTTTGTGAAGGTCATACCAAGTTAAAAGAAATGTCTGTAAGATTAAATAATTTCTTTACCTTGATTGCGTCCCACGCTGAGCTGTTCAAGTCAAAATCAAGTGTGTAAGGGCCACTACTTTTGTCTGAATTAGTGAATTTCTTGTATTCGACTCTGACTAGACAATATTTTCCTTGGATTACATCAAGATCAGAACTTGATGAATAACTTGGTACATTAGCTTTCAATCCATAACACTCATCAAAGTTTCCCAAGTGCCTAGTTTGACCCGCTATTATTCCTTCAGGATATTTTGTTGATGAATCAAACACTAGAATTATACACGTAAAGATAAGTTAATGACTGATATCTAAGATCAATAAATTAAAACTTCAAGTTGAAAAACTATATTTTTATTTAGATAGTATTCAAAAATACATTCCTTATCATCAGTTCCTTAATAATCTCGAAAGATGGGATTAGGAAAACACTGTTACATTATACAAGCGAATAAAATTAACTCAATAATGTGATTCGAAAAAGGATCAGAAAACTTTCTATTTCAAATTATTTTTAGCCGAAACCCTTCACAACTTTTAGTGACTGATAAGTTGATTGATCAACAATTGAAATATTCTTTAGATAAATGGAAATGAATATCCACTTATTGAAAGAAACTAATTAGTAACAGAGACGTGCTTCTCAAGAAATCTATTATTTTCTCAGACAATTTGTTAGCTGAGCTCAATAATTATGATAAGGAGAACATTCTAAGAATACAATTAACATGAAATATAGATAAAATTGATAAATGATTTAATCTATTTGTTAATTAGGCACGTCTTTAACAATATAAAAATGTAAAAAAATATAAAAATCCTTTAACGATAAAAATTCGTGAATAAAAAAAATAGTTACTTACTGCGAACAGCCCAAAGAGTTCCATTTTTTAAATCTTGAAGATATCTTTCAGCTTGTCTCTTGCATTTTCCTTCAGGAAGGGTTGGTGAAGAAGCAAAAAGTATAGGAAGCAAAGGAACTTTTAAATACCATGGTATTTCTGACACAATTGAATTTTGATTTGACTCTTCAATTATATGAGAATTAATTTTCTCATTGACAACTGGTACACTTAAATTTCTTACTATTTTTTCATTAATACTTTCGTTAGCCCCGTAAACTTTGGAATATTGTATGGCACTTAAATTTGAATCATTTCTGTTGATATACTTCAAACAATTTTCTGTACTGAGTGAAAAATAACCAAAAACATTACTTAAAACAATAGTTATAATTATAACAGTTGACTTATACATTTTGCAAATTTTTTTCGTTAAGCTATATTATCATTAGTATATTGGTTTAAAGCACTACCCACTCACACGAAACTCCATCCACACTGAACTCTACTTCTTAAATGATGCGCCCTGAAAAACGATTTAAGCGAAAGTATCTATTCGGTCTATCACCACCGTCTTATAAACGTAAATGGTCACACACTTTTAGTTAATCTGATATTTTATACACCAAAAGCTAATGACTTGTTATCATATTAGTAAATATTATTTTATTTTAAACGTTTCTTAATAGAATACAAAATGCTATCAAGCAAAAAAATCTTGTTTAAATTTGAAGTTTTAATTTTTAAAGAAATTATTAGATTTATTTATTTACGAGTTGAAAGATCGATAGAAGTGATGATTACTCTCAAATAAAGGTAAAAAATAATCCAGAAAATTTTTAGTTAATATTCTGGGTATCATACGGTTTCTAAATCATGAACAATTATTACAAAGACAAAACAGAATAATTCAAATTAAATTATTGAATTATAATTTTTTTGTTCAATTTCATAAGGGTAACATTTCGATAATCAGTATAGTAGAGAACTGATTTATTAGCTTTGTCGGTATCACCATTTTTTGTTACCATTAGAGCTTTTCATCGGTAATGTAGAATATAAGATTGAAAATAGAATTTTGAGTAGAGTAAACGAGAATTAGTAATCCGAGTTTTTAAAAATAAGATATTAATTAATTAAACTGCATTACATTCTGTTCTGACATACAATAAATTTTTTTATTGACTAATCAAATAAAAAATTCAAATTTTTTGTTATAAATTTCTTAATTTTTATTTTTAGGAAAAAATATAATACCGTATTTTTTGTTGAGTAACACAACGCTTTTATTAAAAATAGAAAGTAAATAATGTCATGAGGATATCATTCATTAATTTCATCGTTAAAACATCTCATGAAATTTTTTTACTTCAAGAAAATTATATATATATATATGAAACTCATTAGCTGCAGTTAAAAAATTCTTTTATACTTGAGCAATTTTATAAAAAGTTAAAGAAATGTTAAAAAGGTTTCAACACCTGACATGGCCAAAAAAATAAAAGTACATGAATGTAATGAGTAAAAGTATACTTCTGTTGTGAATTCGATTTTTAAGTAAGTTTGAAATAGGAGTAATTATGATGTAAGATAATGTTGCTTCAATAATGATAAATTTACAGTGAATAATACTGAAAAAAAATGATTCTGCATACTCGTTATTTAAGAAATCTCTAAAACCATGCATTCAAGACTGTTTAAAAAATTCATTTATAGATTTATTATCAATAAGATGTATTTTCGAATATTTTCAAAACTTTAACGTTCAAAATTTTAAAATTTATTATTAATGCTTCAGATCAATTGAAAACATTACTTAAATAATTTAGTAGCTTTTAAAAATGTTTCCATAAATATCCTTAATAAAGATTTTCCATTTTTCAGGAAGACAAAAATTTATTTTCCATCTAGTTAGTCTTAAGTTTAGGAAAAGATATTGTTCACAGTAAATAGGTAATAAAAAATGATATAAAGAAGGTGTAGAATGTGATACAAATGAAATCGGCAAGAAAAGTAAGAGTGGGTGGCCAAACAAACATCAAATAAGGGTATTCCCGAACGAGGCAAGTGTCCGGTCGGCAAGTTGTCCTTACATTACCATATCATTGAAACTTGTAAGAATTCAATTTGTATGGCACACGTGGCCGGATGAAGGGATATTTGCAGATGGTACCATCCCTTGGGGTATCGTCCATTATACAGATAAATTTGGAGCTACACGGGCCCATAGTCTAGAATCGTGTTTGTGCCGAGGTTGCCTTTTTATATCATCATAAATGGTTGACCATTCCGATTCCCAGATCGTCTCACCATTATTGCTTATTTCTATTTTTTTTCTCAACTCTTGAGTCTCTTGTGAGAATGTCAAATAACAGAATATAATATTCAAATAGGATCACTTCTTATGAGATAAATTTATTTCAAATGCAAATTAGCTGCGAATCATTTCAACTTTGCTTTCACTCTCGTCGTTAAAAATGATTCTGGTAAATATATGTTCTAAGTCTCACCAATATATGACCCTTCTTTTTGTATAGTCATTGAAGATTTAAATAGTCTTAATGACATTAAAAATCCATTTTTCTCCTCGACAATAACAATAAAACGTTATCGTATTTTTTAAAATAAGATTCTTTATAGTTTTTTTTAGTTGAATATTCTTTTATTAATTTTCTCTATTCAATGGTCGTCGTAAACAATCTTGCCCTTGAACAATTTATAAAAAAAATCAACATTTTCATTCAATGTTAAACTTTTATGAATAAAATGTTCATTAATATTTTTATTAACAATAAAGGAGAGTAGTATAATATTTGATGTGGTGTAAATAATTGTGACTACTTAAATACTAACTTTAGTTTGGTAAAATTGTGATGAAATATTCTATTTGTCAAATGGTATTAATTTTTCAATGTTTTTTATTCAATTAGTATGAAAAGACAATAATTATCAGTAAGCAATAAATCACAGTATCATGATGTGCTTAAAATAATTCAACAATCAAGAAATTAATTTTGTGGGAGTAAAAAGTAAAACGTGATGCAGAAGAAGATGTAGTAACACAGAAAGATAATTAATCTAATTGCATTAATCCACAATTAGATAGATAAATTAATTATATCACAACAGCAGAATTGGAATGCATATCAATGAAATGCAGATTGAGTTGAGCTGTTAATAGGATAGACTGACGTCACATCAGAGTATTATGATCCGTGTATCTAATTAGGTGGTCGACGTATTCGTATCGTCATATGTATAATCATACCAGTATACCGTATAGAATACACACAAGACCTTCTCCAAGAGAATTATCAGAACGTGTCTTGCTTCACAACTGTCTCGTGATATGATTTATTATTGTATTTATTATTAAACTATCATTTATACTTTTTGACTAGTTTGAGTAATGATTAACCTCATTATTCTAATAATAATGCCTACTGATGATAATGATGATCATTTACAGTCACTTTCTCTTTTCAGCTCAATATTCCATTCACACTCAAAGTGATACAAAAAATCTTATTGTCCACTAATCCTCTCATTGCTCCAGGACTTATTCATTATTTAGCCTGGGATGTATATGAATGTTAGATAATTTGAAGCAACTCACTGTGGATGATTGTGATTATACGTATAGCGAAAGCTACGCAACTTGCTACTGTTCTGGGGGCAATAATCCAACATTGACATTGTAAAGCAGCTACTGCACCAACCAACCGAGACTCATTGGTCATCATTAGTGACTTTAAATCATGTGAGAGACGACGGCTCATCGTCATCATCTCCAACACCATCATCAGAAGTGACCAATGAACAGGCAATTGAATTTCTGTGGACCTGTGAGTGCTATTCAAAATGAAAAGGATTATATTCTAGCCATGACAAAAAAGGTGCCTGGCAAACCAACGTCGAAAGAACCAGCCGCGCTTTTGTCGCGAGAGATTATAGTCGCTTGCACCATCATGACCATCCAACTTCTTTCAGAGTAATGTGCTTTTAATGTTGATTAAAATTACCACCATATTGGACAGCTTTTCTCACTTCCACTTGTTACTTTTTGTTCTTTTTTCAATTATTTTTATTTTTCCTACTCTGCACTGTCATTTTTTCTTATTTGTTCCGTTGCTCTCTATGAGGTAATGTACCAACCTAAAGGTGATGCTATTCAATTGTATTCTTTTCTTTGTCAGATGACTACTGGAAGCGCAATGACCCGCCTTGAACCTGTCTCCAACAATGGTGCATTTTAGTCAACTGTTGGAGCATAAAATTGGTCGTTGAGCGTTTAATATTTGGGTATTTCACAGTGATTATTTTTAATGAATCTATTGAAAATGATAAAGATGTGGTTAGATAGAAGAATAAGCTTTTTTATGATCAGAGCCGTTAAATGGGAGATTTATTGTTGGTTTGGGTTTCATTATCTCGAATGAATTTAAAGGAAACTCAAAATAACGTTCGTTGACAACAATCAACATTATTAATACTCAACAATTATCGAAGAATTAAAATTTCTGTAATTTTCCTTTATAATATTAAATATTCCATACAATTAAAAAATTAATTCCATTGATCTGCATTACTTTTGATATTTAGACTTTAATCCTGATTCACATGGACTATTGATAAATTTCTTAGGGAAGAAAAATTGAACCACAATTGAATAAACTATAACTGTGTGGAGAAAAATTTTATCATGACATTTAAATATGATTCAGAGGGGTAAATACACGTGTTATTGAGCTGAGATTGTTGAACAATTTAATCTCAATGAAAACAAATTCTAAATGGAAGCGAACAAGAAGACGAATTGTTCCAAAGACACGTGACTAAAAGCAATCAGTTTATGCATATCTTCATGTTGTCTCTCATGATGTGTTGAACAAGAGTGCGGTACAATTATTATGGGGTAAAAGTGTTGTATTATAACACTCGCATATACAGAGTCACGTGTCGGCACGTGTTTCCAAATGATCTCCCGCAGCTTTACCAAGATGACAAGTCAAGATTCTGTGATTGAGTGGAGATCATCCATGGGATTTTGCAAATTTTTTTCTTCAAATAAATCAGTGCAATAATTTTTTAAACATCAACTAAAACATAATTCTTTAATGTTTTTTAAAAATTTGGATTGAAAAATGTTATGAAGTAATCAATATTCAAAATTAAATCTAAAAAAATGTGTAAAAGATGATCCTCCTAATCTATGTCTACAAATAGTTGTCAAACAAGTGCTCGAGTCACGGATACATAAGTTTAGGTTTATGGAAGAAAGCATCTGGCGGAGTTTGACATCGTGAAAACACTGGTAAAAGAGTAGTAGAGACGGTGAACTCACTAATATTTCGTTCCGGTACTTTCCACCCTCGTGTTAACCCTCGCACCGGAATACAGACTAAGGTATATTCTCTACTTCAGAGCAAACTATTGTAACAACGCGCTACTAATGATTGTTAAATCACACTGTGAAAAGTATCAAAGTCGAGTTTGTTTGTGACATACGTTCGGGCCCTGGTTTTGGATTCTTGCACACCGTTTTATGCTAAATCGTGTCATTTTTACGTGCATTGAGAATTAAAAATTGGTCGAGGATAAACTTTTCGGTGATACGAGAAACATTGAAGAACATTTTTTTAAATATATGTTGAAAATAAGAAAGTAATACTTGTGAAGAAAGAAAAAATGTATAGATATAAAAATTATAACTTTAACATATAAAAAAAGTTTTTAACTAAAACAACCATTGAGTTGTATTGGAATTAATCTTTTATTTTACTATTTTTTCGTTTAAAGCAATACTTAAAATATTTTGTGTGTTTTAAATCTTGTAATTTGAATAATTTTTTTAATGTATTTATTTTTATAATTCAGTTTAGCGTTGGTCTATCATTAAATACACTACTTGCAGTGTAATTAAATGAAAGCCAAGGCGAGAGAAAAGTGATTAATATTTAAGACAAAGACGTACAATGAACAAATGTCTCTACATTTAAGTTATCGTTAGTAACAGTAGGAAAATGATGACTAATGTGAGTATGTAGAAACTCATGAAAATAATTCATTCAATAATTAATCAGCATTAAAACTCTTCTAAACAAAAATAAAAATATCTAATATCTTGATGAAAGAACAGAAAATAATGAAGCATTTATTATTGTAGAAATATGGAGGAAATTAATTAATCTATTTTGAATAATGATATTTTTTATGAATATTCCAAGGTATCTTCAACTGAGAAAAATGATAAAATTTCAGTAAAGGAATCCGTTTGGAAATGATAATTTGATAGTATGCAAGAAAAGCTCTAATGATTCGTCGATAGGTCGGGTGATCGATTGAGTCGTGAGCTTCTTCTCGTAATGACAAGCAGAAAAGGGAGAAAGATTTGTCATTAGTTGGCTAACCTTTGCGGATCTGCATGAAAAATGTTCAATGGTGGGATTTAACTGTCGTCAGTCGGACGCAATGATAACGATAATACGAGACGACAGTCCATTAGGGAGCAAGCTACTGCTGATTTCGTACAAGAGAAGAACAAAATCGTACGTACTTGCAATATAAGTGACGACTCTTAATGTTTTTACCGATTTTTGCATCATTAAGGAATGACAAATACTGTGATCGGATGATTCATTCGCTTACCCTTTTATTTTTTAAATGAAAAAAGCTCTATCAGGAGGATGAAAAAAATAATAGAATTACAATTTGAAAACTACTTATAAGATATAAATATTTCTTTATTGATAAAAATAATTTTTTTTTTTTTCAATGTAACATGAAATTGAATATTATTAGAGTGAATATTAAAAAAAGAGATCTGAGGGTGATCTAGATTAGATACAGATATACCGAAGCAATGATGTAATTTAATCAAGTGTACGATAGTAGCGTATTTATGATAATTTTCATATTATCAGTCACTGGTTGGCTATTATGAAGCGTTGTCCAATTGAATCCCATGTGAGTTTCTATCGTTTGCATCTGATAATACTTTAGCTCACAGTATAATATAATATCTAGAATGCATCGTGATTCATCTAATTAGCATAGAAGCGATTTGTTGTACAAATTCATCGTCAACCAATACAAGCACATGGACCAAAACAGTTTACAGAAATAGATTGAGCACATGCACACGTGGGCGAATGGCGACATTGTGTTCTGATGTGCAATAGGTTAGCTCACAAATTTACAAACAAATGGCTTACTCTCGTCGTCTAAAGGTCTATAAGTGGAGACCACGGAAAAGGGAGCAGAAATATAGGTATAATTTGATTTTTCCCGAGGTTTTATGACTCCTCACCCTCACTTGGCTTCTTCTTGACTTCTCAAGAGAGCTAGTCTCATGCCTGCCTTATTTTCTCCTTCCTTTGGACTCTTGTGCAGTCTACTTGGAGGGGTAAAATCGGCATTTTGCCAGGCTATGGTAACTTTTTTCATATTCCAATTAGAATATTTTTCATTGATTTAATGCCTGTGAAAGCAGATATTAACGGTTTAACCCAGCGATAAATTCTTAGTGTCGATGGGTTCTACGGCTAAAACATGCCTCACACTCTCTACACCCTCTTCTACAACCTCTTAAGCTCGCGCCACTCTCCGCAAGCCAAGGAGATTGGCGGCAAAGGTATAGGGGGGGCGACAAAACGACGTACGGCCACGAGGCAGCAGCGTATAAGTACTTTAACTACGTATGCTAACTTTACGAGTTACGCAAACTCTCGTAATATTAATCACAGCACTCGTCCAAACTCTTACAACTAGGAAAAACGTATATATCCTTACGGTAAAAATGCCGACCAAGTATTTATGAGTTTCTTCGAGCTTATTTCGAGAGCCAAGTGCTAAATATTGAGCGTAAAAATATATTATTCCTATTTACTATATATTTTTATTTCACATCATTTTTGTTATTTCAACGCTTTATTAGTTTTTACGAAAGCTCTAAATGTTTTTTTTATCTCTTGTATTTATTTTACTTTTTATTTATTATTTCTCCAGGTACATTTTTACTAGCTATGACAATTAAGTAACGAGCGGGTGGTGCTGATTAATTCCTATTTCAAAAATATTATTTTTTATTTAAAGAATTAATTATTTCTTCATATTCTTTAATAAAAAAAAAAATAAATGTTTAAAAAAAAGTCTAAAAGAAGAAACTGATTAATTCTACATTCAATTTATTTATTTAATATTCTGTAAGATAATTAATGAAAAAAGTAGTCATTTGAATAATTAAGCTTATTTTAAATCATTTTTGTATTTTAATTATTAGTTTTTTCATTTTTTGTGGGCAATTAATTTTAAAAATAACATTGGATTATATTTACTAATTAAATAAATAAATAAAATATTAATGCAAAAAGGAAAAATATTCATGTACATGCACACCATTTAATTAAAGTGGTGAAAAAGCAAAAAAATTATAAAAAGCTTTTTTTGAGCATTAAACTCCATGCCTGAGCAAATTGACTATGCTGGGGTTGAAAAATTAATTTTGTTCTTCAGGTAAAATGAGTATCTTGAAATGTACTTTCGTCGATTTAACGTTTGCGCGCGCGCTCTTGGAACCCTCCAAGTCAATAATAAAGGCAAGAAAGCAGCGCCGCTGATCATTGTAAGAGGAGATTGGGACGCCGAGCGAAAGATAAAAATGAATGAGAATGATATTGCTCGAGTAGGAAGTAAGTGAGTTTGAGAAAGAAAGAATAGAAAAGAGAAAGAAAACAACAGTAGTCGTCGCTACCGTAGAAAGATAAACATGACGGGAAAGAGAATGTAGGAGCGATAAAATGATATGAAAATCCTGGAGCTGGATATAAAAGTCGTGTTCGTACGCATTCCCTTCGTTCTTCGCAATCATGCTCGCAATCACTCCAAACCTTTTCCTTATTCATCCCTCCTTCTCCTTATACTTTTTCTCATGCTTTCTGGCTCTTAGATTATTATTGGTGAATCTCGATCTTCCTGCTTGCCAATTTCTCATCTAGTATCCATGATATTCTCCCCTTGGCTCGTTCCGCAACTTCTTAAAAACACGAAAAATAAATAGAAGAAAAGCAGTTGGATAAATAAATCAATGATAAGCAATCAGAGTATTTTAAATTATGTGCTTTGCTGCTGTAATTATTTGTTTTATTATTTTTTATTATCGTAGCAATATTCTTTATTTATTTATTTGTTACAATAGTTTGATTTAATTTATTATTAGCAATAAATATTTTTTCGTTAATTAGTTTAAATAATATAATTATAATTATTATTGTTATAATTATTTTCGTATACAAAAATAATTTGAATTATTGTTTTTTTTTTAACCAATTTCAATGAATGCTTTGAACGACAGTTTAAATTCATTTTTATCTAAATTTTAATTCTAAATAAATTAATAAATAATATTATTTAATTAACAAATCTCGTTTTCTTCATGATTAGAATTGTTTTATTACGCTTAGAATATATTGGGTTGTCTCATAAGTTCTTGCCACTTTCAATTGTTAGTCGGAAATTTTTTGGACTTCTAGCCTCTTTTGCTCAGAAATTTTGCTCAGTAAGTGGCTGATTGTAGTAAATAATGAGAGAGATTACATAGTTTATTAAATGCATCTTTATTAATTGAAACAATAAATACTCAATTGCTTTTGACTGGCAAGGGTTCATGGTACAACCCAATAATATTTTTTAAATTAATTAATTGAAAAATCTGATTATTGGAGCACACTTAGTTGTGAGAATGAGTTTATTGGGGATATAAAATGATTTTTAACGAGGCATTTCAGTACAGAATTGAAAGAATTCAAAAATAATATCAGAATAGAAGAAGTTTATGAGTTATATAAATAAATTTTCATCGGTGTATAATATTGAACATTGAATATAACAATCTTCAATAGAAAAGAAATTTTTTCAAGATCCCTAGAGGCACTCTAATAGAATCCAAGGCAAATAGCTCTGGAACTTGGCCGGAATAAATACATATTAAAACCTCATATCTCCAGCATTACAGAATAAAATAAAACGAAAAGACATGATTCATTGTATTATTTTTATAAACTTCTTATAATAAAATATCAGATTATTCTTCTGATAATAATAAATCAGATTGAATACCATATTAAAATCTGAATTATCAATAATAATTATTAGCCAATTTTTAGAAATGTAAATCACTGAAAGAAGTTTTTGCAATTCGACTTATGCAAGTATGAAACTTTTCAATCACTTCAATATTATTATTAATAATAATGATAATAAAAATTAAAATTTATTAAATTTTAAAATAATAATCCGAAATGCTGTAAATATTTATAAAAAATGTAATAAAATGGAAAAAGATTTAGAAAGCAATAAAAATAATAATGATCAGTATTTTTATTGACTAAGTAACAGATTTATCATCTAGATCCTAGAAAAGATTTAAATTTACAAACCTAATAGTGACAATATGGATAAATGTATATGTCTATAATGTTGGCCGCAGTAAGTGTGATTTCCGTGGGTCGCATTTTTCAATAAAAAGTATAATAACGTCGAATGTTTTCCGATTTTCCACGTACGATGTACTTGATGTAGGAGCCTCTCATTCCTCCAGCCTGAGTTTTCCGAGCTCTAGTTGGCGCATATATGTATGCCCGTCGGTGTGGTATGTGACTGGTGGTGTGCGCTATAACACCGCGACTGGCAGTAAATCTCGTCGATGGCGCCCCGTCCAAAGCATAAAAATGTCGCTTCGTGATATCTATCCGATAGGATCGTTACTCTTTCGCTCTCTGATGCCATTTACCATATATTGAACTGAAAAACAATTCCAATGAGCATTTTGATTTGATAAAAAAATATATGAGGCTAAAGATTAAGGTACTTTGGAAGAATAACAAACATTCCTAATTCACATATCAGTATAGAGCAGTGGTCCGAGCTTTAATTCAAAGAGGAAAATCATTGGGAATTGGATAGAACAAGAACATACGATGTAATCAATTGTCTTATAAATGAGTGTAACTTACTTGTGTATGAGAGAAAGAAGTGCATGTTTTTGGCAAGTACTTTGGGGTCTGGGCTCCAACAGAAAACCCTTTTCACTTCATGCCTTATATAACTTTCTATATAGATACCTTTAAATGTGCACAGATCTGTTATTTATTGTCGTGGATTCGGAAACTCTAATGGCCATTGCAGGACACCCGCTGACACCACGATAAAACATCACTAATGGAAGCAAAAATCATTTTTCTATTTTACCAAAGATTCTCACTTCTGCTGCAGTTATAATAACAGCAGCCAGTTATTATTGTAACCATTCTGCTGATATATTGATGGTTCTCGTGTAACTTTGGAATCAACAGCAAATTGCAATCAATTCAATCAGTTCTATGTTTGTGTTTGAAATGCTTTATTTTCCTAGACTCTTGTAATTGTATTCTATTTATTGCACTTATTACTAATTGGTAATACTGTAGAATGAATTTTCAAATGAAAGACCACGAAATGGTTATTCAGATGGTTTAAAATATTATAAAAAAATCATTGGACATTAAACACATGTTGGAGATAAATTTACTGTCGTATTGTAAGTAAATTAGAGACAGATCAGAACTGTGGTAACAACTACTTTACTTGAAGTAAAAATAATTTTAGGAAAATAATAGTTCAATTTGGAGTATTTTTACTCCAAAAATTTGTTTAGTGTCAATTCACAATAACAATTAAAAAAAATAAATGAAAAAAAACTGTGTAATAACAGAAATTATTCAAACTCTAATATTGAAGAATTAAAGCATCTATGTTTCAAGACAGTTGATGATTTATTATAAAGAATTTTCTTCAATGTGAATTTCAACGATGAGAAAAAAAGCGTAAAAAGTGATACATAATTTGAATCAATCCAAAAAAGAGCAAAAAACATAAAGTCATTTTTTAAATCGCCAAGAGCACTTGAGAAATTGAAAACAGTCGTCGAAAATAAAGTAGTATCGAATGCGTCCCTTTTCTTTTGGATTATTAGCCTGACGTACGATCCCGATGAATCGTAAACGGAATGGGATAAGTTACGCAGTAGTTTAATTCGTGCTGCAGACACTGCTATCCTGCCATTTTGAGGGGGACTGGAATGAGAGCATAGGACATTCCTTGTCCAAAGTGCGAGAGAAGTTGAGGAAGAAAAGCCGAGTGGTACGAGATGGCACTTGGATTATTTCCTTTCTCATTGCCCATGTCTTCTTCTCTCTCGTTCAAACTTAATCATAACAGCCTGTTAGCTAAATGAATAGTCGTGGGGTGACTAGATGTAGGGTCGGGCCACCTACTTTGTAACTATCCCCCTCGTTACGCTTCGTAGCTTCATCGCACCCCCTACTCACTACCTCCTCCGGTTCAACTACACTCCGATCAACTTTTCCAACCCTGAGAGAAAGACAAAATATACCCCGAGTTTGTTATTAAATTAATCTGCCGTTTAGTAAATTGATTTCGAGTCATGTGCAAGGATTTATCACTTGTCGATCCGAGTCAACTTGTAATCTTTTTACTTTTCGGTTAATTGATTGTTCGCACCCACAAAAAAAATTTGTTTACTCTCATCAATATTTTTATTATTTTATTAAAAATAGAAATAATTTTTTTTTTCCGTACAAATATAATATTCTAATTGAAATAAAAGTAAAATTATATTTATTAAAGAAAAAATCATAATTTCTATCAAAAAACTACTTTGCATAAATACTGGTAGAATCATTTCATTGAATTTGTATTGTAAGATAAAAACTTCAAACTCTACTTTTTTTAATTTAATTTAATGCAATTCAATTTTGAAATCTTTGATTCCAATGTAGTGTAGTAAATTATAGAAAAAACGTACAATAATCTGTAATCTTTTATATTAAACCTAATTGATTGCTTGAACAGACAAAAAATTCATCAGATTCACTCCTCAACAATTGGAACAAAATGTTCTCAATCCAGAGCATTTAATCAGCAGCGACTTCCTGATGTCAGTAGGGTGTAGACCATATATACCACTGCAGAACTGTTAGTGTGTGGTTAAACAGTGGGGAGAGTTTAACGTTTCTAAGGAATTGAATGAGATCAGTCCAATCTCTCGATTAAGCTGCTATACTTAATGTCCTTCCTATTATCACTGATGTTCATAGTACCCAACTGTTCTAAAAGTAGATTTTTTTTCCCCTAAAAAACACAGATTAGACTACTTGATGATTATCATCTGGTTCAAAGCATGGATCTGTAGCTCGTGGCTTTTTACTTGAATGTCCGCATTTGAGAAGTATTTTGATGACAGGCCAGCGACAGTTGAGAAAACAAAACCAGAGTTTTTTTCAGTGTTACAAGAAAGATACCCAATAGTTTAGATTGTTTTCACACTTTATTTCTTTGATTTAGTACAGTTTTTTCAAATTTTTCGTGACAAAAAATCATGAAAAATATGTATTTAATAGATGTAATTTGTATATAATGAAAATATAAATGAAATTTAATTTTCTCGGAAACAAACTGTTTTCATACTCTATATGTGTACACTACAGTTGATTTTTTACTTTCCCTCATTCATAGGAAAAATTAGGTAAAAAATTTGAAACATATGTTACAGTTTATATCGTGCTGTCTTGGTGATTTAAATTCATTCTTTGTCAAGACAAATGGATCATAATATAATTATTTATTTTATATTAAATACTTTTAAAATATTATAAACTCTTACAAGTTCATATAAGTCCATAAAAAAAAAGTAACCATCACATGAAAAATTTTTTTTTTATCGATTTAACAATGCAAAATAAATACTAGAGTAAGGGGAAGAGGGGTTAAAGTGAAATACCACGAAAAAATTTAAATAAACAAATTAAGTGTTATATTAACGAATGTTCATAATTTTAAATGCATTAGTCAATTGAAAAATCGATAAATAAAAAGTGCAAGTGTTTTTAAACATATTATAATAAATAAGTACATTGTCTCGAGCATTTCACTTTGCCCACCTTTCCCTTACTTAAAAATCATAATGAACGAAAAAAAAAATTCAAATAATTTGGAGTAATTAATTGCATAAATAATTGTATATGAGTAAAGCTTCATTTTAATTTTAGTATTGACAATTTTTCAAGAATTACAACATGTAGAAAATATTTTAAAGGCTAGAATAGATTTCATTTTAGTTAAATTATTAATCTCATTGAATATTCTTTTTTTTTAATGAAGATAACAATATTAAAAAAAAACATTTCATATTTTTAATTAACTTTGTCTGGTCGTTCTTGATGATTATTTTTTTTTATAAATAAATGAAATAGTTTTTTTCAATTATTAATAGTTAATGTTACTGAAAGGATTAGTTAAGAGAGTTGAATAAATAAAATGATTAGGATATCATATTTGCCATTTATTAAATCAGAGATATAATACATAAGCGATGAGTAACATTTATGTATAATTTATACAGTGTTGTTCATTTTATACAGATTGTCGCTACAGTTATTCAACGGTTTACCCAAGTACTGTACAATAGATTATAAATAATAAAATGAGTGTAGCTGTTTTATACTCTTTGCATAAGAGTCATCAGCATACCAGTCGATAGCTACATTTTATTTCTTATCTTTTATCATTTTATTCGAGGTAATGTCTTTTTTCTTTAAACATTATTTTTCTGTCTTTTTTATTCTTTTTTTTTATCTTTCGAGATCAGTATATAATATTACAACGTTTTCCTACATCTACTTACATCGAAGTTTGCATTTATAACGCCAAATATCACAATCACGGTTATCATATCTACAGAATATACAGAATCCAAGCCAGATGTCACATCTAGCACTCTTTCACTCACTCGTTCTAATGTTTTCTTTTTCTTTATTTACTCCGCTTCACTCACGGTCATACGATAGAGTATAGATGACAAAATTATTTAATTTATTGCACTGGTTTAAATAAATTAAGATAAAAATAAAATATTTTTAAATGAAGAAATATTTTTGTTTAAATTAATTGAGTTGTCTTAAAATGAATACAAAAAATAGATTATCTAAAGTAAATATTGATAGACCTGAAAAAAATTTTTCTATTTCTAACACTAAAATAAATCATTCATTAATATCATGATTAATTGCTGATTAAATGTAAAAAAATATATAAATAGAAATTATTTTTTTTTATTTATTTAAATAAATTTTTTTATCAATATAAAAAGTATTTTATTTAATTATTCAGGAATAATAGAAAATAATCTTCAAACAAAGAAATTTTAATTCAGATTTTTTTAGTTATTCTCTAAAAATGAATCAGTGAAAATCACTGCCAAAAAGTGTATATTTACTGATCAGCAGTTATAAAGTATCACCGTTTGAATTAATATTACTACTCCAATAGTAAATATTCACTGATTCATTTTTAAAAAGTAATGATTAAATTCAATGTAAAAGCAAATTCTAACTTTTTGCTATGAATTTATCCAAAAGTGCAATAGCATAGTAATAATATATACTTATTTTACAAATATTAGTTATTACTCACGAGAATTCATTACTTTTTGATTCAAAAATCTGAATTAAAATTGAAGATAATATTTATAATCTCTTATTAATCCTGAATAAATTTAATGATTAAAAGTTTCAGGAAGCTCTAAAACTTTCAACGTCTTTTCAGGTCTCTCAATGAATTTCATTCTAGATCTTTAGGATCTTGATTAATTTAGCAGTTAAAAGATTTAAATGGAGAGAATCAACAACCCAAGTGAATATCCTCAACAGATCCAGGCGAGTATCATTGATCTCCACGAGCCAAAGTCGTGTTGTGATGAGTTTGAGGATAAGATAAAGGAACAAAAGCAAAAAAGATGCAGGAGACACAAAAAGAGTCTCGTTTCCCTTTCGTTCGACGTTTGTGTTCCTGGTGGACGAGTTTCTTCCCTCGTTGGACGTCCCTCGTATCCTAACGTTACCGCCCTATAATCCACGGCCACGCCTTCCACCCCCAAGTATCATCGTTCCTCACGGCCCGTACTGTTGCTCCAGCTCTCGTCTGAGCCTTTTCGCGGCTGTTTCACCGCTAGCTTCGGTCTCACCGTCGCTGCAACCGTCCTCATTCTCCGCTACAACACCTTCTACTTCTTCTTGACGTCGTTTCGCGGTGGCCATCTCTGCTGCATGCTTCTTTCGCCATTTGGTCCGTCTATTTTGAAACCACACCTGGAACAAACAATTTTATTTTTGTTTTTAGAATGTTTTCTATTCTTTGTCATTCTTCATTTATTTTTGAATCAGCAAATTTATTCTCACAATAATGAGAAAAAAAAAGTATTTTTAATTATGAATAACATATTATTCAGAAGATAAATAGCATCTTTTATCGTATGTAGTTATTCAACAATATTTATAGACAATTTCAGAGATATTCCGAATTTGAAAAAAAATTTCAGTAGTATAAGCATGATTTAGTCAGTCAACATACTAAAAATAGACTAACTCTATTGAAATGATTAAAAAAATTTTCTAAATAAGTTTGAAAAATGATTATAAGTTTTTTTATTATTTAATTGAACTCTGTTAAGTATCGAGTTTCGTAAAGTTAATGTCGAAAAAAATGACAAATTTTGTTTTGATTGCATTGGTACAGATAAAGTTTCTTATAACTGATTCTTTCAAGTGATACAGAGTAAAATAATTAAATGTTTTTAACTTAATAATAATCTCTTCTAACAATCAAATTGTTAAATTAATAAAATCAATTGTGAATATTTTTGTTCTCATCATAAATGAATTATATTAAAAAAAAGTATCATACGATGAAAATGGATGAATCAAGTAATAATAAAATAGTAGTATTGACAATTAAAAATGAATAGCTCATGAAAGACTTTTACGTAGAAAACAAACATGACGAGGACGTTGGTCTAGAGAAAGACGTTCTTTTGCACCTATAAAGCATGGAATACATACTGGGAGTTTGTGTCCCCGCAACAATGTATTTAATTAACGTAACGGGCGTCAAGGGAGTACGAGAATGCCAGCAACTGTACCGATTGCACCCGCAAACCACCTATCCCCCGATCCTTGCAAGCTATGCTTACTTCTCTCCCATTGCGGATCCCAACCAACCCCCTTCATACGCCAACATCAGGACGCGCTTCCTCGGTAGCAGTATGGACCAACTCTCTTTCTCTCTATATACACACTACACTCTTCGTCACCCCTGCACCACCAACAAACGCTTCAGAGAGGTTAAATTAAAGATATAAACGTCTCGCTTTCTCCGTGAGCTAAACGGATTAAAAAGTAAACGGCTCTCGTAAAAGTTAATAGCTGCTCGGATGAAAATTAAAACACTCAAGACAGCCTGACATCAACATTGAATCTGAAAGAAAAAGAGATAACTGGAATAGCTACACTCTAGGATACAGTGATATTAAGAGAAAAATAGTCTTGTATTTGTCAAATTGTTTCTGTATATATCTGATCAATCTGGATCATATGACTTAATTTTTTCTCTCAATTTTCTTGAGTTAGGCGGCGTGCCCAGAACCTCATCTGGCAATAAATTCTGAAGGGTTTCTTATGGTCAACACGTTATAGCTGATCATTTTTTTCCGTTACTGCTCTTACATTGTTTTTTCAGAGATATTTAGCTTTCAATTTTTATATTTGTTTTCTCTCCTTCCAATGTCTTGATAAATTTTTCAGTTAATTTTTAACAAAAATTTTTTCTAATCCCACTTAATTAAATTTTGAGCAAACATTAAATCACAGTACAATAAATAATGTAAGAAATTTTTATTATTAATATCATTTTTCCTTCCATCATTCAAATAAAATCTTGTTTAAAGATCTATTTAATGGTAATTTATCATCAACAATGGAGTACGATATTTTTTATGCAATGAATTAATTAAAATAGAATTAAAATGAATTATTATTTAATAAGGGTTGTAGGGTTGTAATATTTTAGTATGCAATAAAGCGAATGTATCAACCACCATTATTAGCTAATGACACAGCAAATCTCCAAGGGACAACTGGACCCTGATCCCTGATAATTGTTAACATAAATACCCGAAACATTTGACCATTTTAGATTTAGATGTGGCTGTTGATGAAACATATTTTTTCTTTTGTTATTGATTTATTCGGTTGAATAAAAATAAAGCGAAATGGCAGATCACTCAGAGAAGCCTGCGGTGTTGAACCCCGTGGCCAACGGCTTTAGACCCTGTATGCTGGATTACTTGATGTGGTTTTTTTTCCCCAACTCCGTATTAGTTACGCACGCGTTGCTGTTCGTCGAGGGTGTGTGTTGTTGCACCCTCGAGCCTCGAAACAGCGCAACTGTTAGATTTATTAAATCAAGATTATCTAAGCCCGTAACATTGTTCTCTAAAGCCGAGTATAAAACCGCGAGACCGTTTCTCTCACTCGTTTTAGTTAGTTCGATATGTTTGTTGCGACAACGCGTGTTTTTGGGACGCGCGCGAGTCACTGCTGATAACATCTGATCCCAATTGATAGTCGCTTAAAATTTATCATTAAAAAGATTCGTATTTTCCAAACATGGAGATAAGTAATTTATGACTGATGCTAGATATTTTTCTGATTGCATAACTGCCAAAGTTTATTCCTAAAATTTTGCATTTTCTCAGTCTTCTTTTCTATTCATTTTTTATTTCAACCAATTCAAGTATTTGAATTTCTTTCAACAAAGAAGTTTTCATTGTTTTTTAAATTAAAATGATTTTTAAACAATTTATTTAACCTTTTTTGGACTATTTGTTTAATTTATTTGTGATTAAACAATTTGGAGATAAAAAAAATTCATATTTCTTTAATTTATTTGATCAATGAGTAAATTTAGTGTCTCAAGTCTCATCTTTTCTTGAAAATGACTAGTTTTATTTGAAGAAATTCAATCATTTAAGCTTTCTTTCAAGGATAAAATATCAATATTTTGAAGATCAAATAAAATAAAAAAGCATGAAAAATTCATTTTTGATTATTTTACGATCTATCCACAGTGCGAGTGACATTTGACGCGTATTTTAGAGCGTTTCCACATCGTTTGTTTCTACTTTTTATTCAAACATAGTGCCCGATTCCGTTGGTTGACTCATAAATTTTCCGCGGCTCGATGAATTTCCCCCATCGGAGAATCCGTGTAGGTATAATGAAACATTGTCACTCACTCCAATTCATTCTTTTGCTTCCAATAAGTCGCTTTAAGCAAAGTAAAAAAAATGAAGAGAAATGGTCTCACTTCTATATCGATCGCTTGAATCCGATAGTGCAAAGAACGGGGTACAAAGTTATGATATGCTTGAGAATATGTGTGTGCAGGTGAATGACAGAAGGTATAGTTGGATGGGTGATAATGTGCTCTTCTGTATTCTGTTCTCGTAGCAGCGCCCCATATCGATATGTTTCCTCTCATGCCTTAACCCTCACGAGCAGCCTATACCTCTCTACTGGCTCATACCAACTCCACATGTTGAAGCTCACGCGATCAAGCTGCTCCAAGATCAAATGGCTTCACCGATTCGTGTTATTCCATCAATACTGTGTTATTTTATTATTCCTACGTGGATTCCATGGCTTCAAGTGATGTTTTTTAAGCAGAATACACCGGACAAAAAACGAGATGATTAATGTGTTTTATATCCCAACTTTTAATCACCTTTTTTATTATTAAAATCATCTCCTGTTTTACATAAAACATCAGATACTGCTTTTTCATTATTTACAACATTCATTAATATTCTAATGCGTTCATTGACCCATTTTTTGGTTCAAATAATAACTTGCCAATTTATATGATGTTTGCAATTGGATTGGAGAGAATAATTTATTGTAAAAAGTTCAGCTTATCATTTGAAGTAAATAATAATATTTAATCAATTTTTGCTCTCATTAACATTTTAAAGCTAAATGTTTATAGAATTTATAAATGTATTTTTTGAAATAATTCTTACATCCAACTCCTTTAATCAATTTAACTTAGAATGATTTAAAAATTATTTTGCAAGTAAGAAATGAAAACACAAGAATTTAATTCCAATTCAAGTAATAAATCAAAGTATTTATGGCTTTGAATATAATAAATTTTGTTAATAATCTAATGACAAATTTTGATTGTTCAAATGATTACAATCTGCCCAAGAAATTCTATCCTAATCTGCATTGTGATTTTTAATAATAAAAAGTTCATGAATAAAAGTTTTCATTCTCCAAATAAAAACAAATAAAGAGAAGAAAAAGGAAAATTAAAGAGCACATTGCAGCCATAATGGAGTCAAGTGCATATGGAGAGATGTTGGGGTTGAAGTTGGATGTTTGGATCAGGCGCATTTAGCTCTTTCGGTTCTCTCTCACTCCCAAAACTATTACTGTAGTATGTGTGGGAGGTGAATGAAGGGAACAACGGCTGCTGGCGTGATTTATCACGAAATGCCATGCCATGCCGTGTGCTATAGGATTGCCAAACGTATACCACCATTATGATACATGAGAGAAGCACTCGCGAGGCAAGGGACCGATGGTAGCACACGTCGGAAAACTGGCTAAAGGCCCTGCTCGTACTAATTGACGTCATCGATATTGGTATCCGTCGACGAGCAGATTACCCCGCCGTAAACAACTGCGTCCACATCCCCGCACCCCCAAGGCGCACTTGTATCCCTCGCATCGGCTGTCACGGCTCTTTGACACTCCCTCTCTTATACTTGTTCTCTTTGTCTGCTGCATTAAACCCTAATATTGGGGGAGAGAGTTTAACTCACCAAGTGGTCGTTAATGACGCGTGCCGATGTGAAGCTTTTATTTCAATCTACCACTTTTCACGCTATTTACTCGGTTATTTACGGGAAACTTTTAAAAGGATTCTAATAAGCTGATTATTTCGGCTCCAACTGTAGGATAAACAAACTCACTGTATTTAATCAATGTTCTTTAGATATTATCGAGTATTTTATAATGTTTAAGAAATACAATATTCTTTGATAGAATAATTCATCAAATTATTATACATTAGTTTTAATAACGAAGAACTGAAAATTTAATTGACTTATTCAAACAAAGCAGTTCTGAACATCTTCATTGAATTTAAATTTGCATTCAGATGCGTTTTCATTATAAAATTAATTAATACATGATAGATAAAGAATATTTGAAAAAGAAAACTTTGGAATAATGCATGTCTGATCGTTAACGTGGTTATACTACTTAGAGGTGCCGAAAAAGCTCAGAGACAATAACATGACAAAAATGAGACTATTGCTTAATTGTAAAACACCAACATTCAATTAAATAATTATTGACATTCCATAATTAATCTAAAGAGAAATATAGCCATAGTTCATTGCAAATATTGCATGTGTCAATACTATAATTTAATTCAATATTTTCAAGTAGAAATAAAAAAAAAACTATCAAGAAGAATTTAGCTAGATCCAGGCAATCTCGGACTTGAAGAGGCGAATCGCACTTTCCGAGAAAATCCAAGGTAATTGAATGCCGACCCTCGTTTCAGTATCTCTCGTTTTCTCTGGTCTCTCTCGCATTCGTTCATCCCCTTACCATCACTCACCGATGCAGACTTATAGCTTTCAATAAAAATGTAAATATGGCGGCGTGGAACGAGCCAATGACAGCGCTACATCGGGCCGCGCGGTCGAGTTGCTTCGTGTGAGTATGAGTGAGAGACAAGAGGGGTTGAAATGGAGATAGAGAACCTCACGCCGCCCACATCGGCGCCTTCGCGGCCGGGAGTGCTAGCTGCGATGGAGACTTAAGAGGATACACACTGAGAAAAAAAAAGCAAAAACTGTGCTTTCTTTCCTTTCACCATCATCTTGAGACACATCTCAAGTGTTGTAGACAGGTGTTGGAAGGCTTGTCACGTCCTTGCCTTCATTTTGTCACAGGAGCTTTTGTGTCGAGAGTTTTTTAACAAAAACATCCCTTATTACAGATGATTTTATTAGATACTGGTCATTAAGTTTTAACTCTAATGTTTTCTATTTTTTATAAAGTCTTTCATTGCTTCTTAATCTATCAAAAATACTATCATAAACTTTTCTTGCTTTTTATCAACGTCTAGGCTAGAACTAGATAATTCTGTTGACATGTAGCAAACTAACTTGGTAGAAACTGATTATTGATCAAGAATAGTTTTATGAATTAAAATGAGTGATGACATTGAACTTGGTAGAATAATTGGAGTAAAAAACTCACCTTGACTTGTGATTCTGACATTCCTAAGGCATAGGCAAGCTTGGCACGTTCAGGTCCAGCTAGATACTTCGTCTGTTCAAATGTCTTTTCTAGAGCAAATATCTGCTGTCCACTAAATGTCGGCCTTGTGTGTTTCTTCTTGCTACCATCGTGCTCACCACCAGCACCACCAGCTGCTCCTGACATCGCTTGTTGACATCCCAACTGTTGTGACACTGAAACATTTTACTTTGATTATATATTATTTATGCTAACATATTTTTATAGACATATCTTTTTATATTTCAGCTAATTTAAAATTTTAATTTAATTAATTCTTTTGTTTATTTTTAGAAACAACAAACACATCTAGATTTAAAATCCCTGAATAATAAAGATAAAAATTTAATGAAGAATTCAAGATTTGTTTAATGATAAAAATTATTGTTGTTAAGGGATGATTCTGCTAAGGTAGTTAGTATTAACATATAAAAGGATGTTTAAAAATCACAAGAAATCATGACGCCACACAGTTATGAGACAAATAATTATCCAGAGCTTGGAGATGTGCTAATTAAAAAAATGTAATTATCCTCAGCCGGCTCTTGAGTGTGCGAGAGGGTAGTACTCGAAAGGCGCTATAAAAGAGAAAACCAAGCGGCTGGGGTTAAACTAGAGTTCGAGGGAGAACTGCAGAATCACCATAAAATCCTTGTAACATTGTTGTAAAGAACAAGAATATCCTCAAGTATTTTATTTTTTTTCATTGCTTCATTTCTTAATGATATCATATTTTACTCCAAAAATTCATTTGATACAACTAGTAAAGGATTATTTTGTCATAAATAGACCATCCAAATAATAACTAATTATTATAAAATAATTACTTACAAAACCTATTAGATGTTATATCTTTAAAGCTCATGATCAGGTGAAGTGTCAATAAAAAATTATTCTTTTGTAATAAATCAATTACTTATATTTAGTATTGAATCATTTTCTTAATTTATATCATGTGGTAGATTAATATGCGATAATAAAATAATAATAATTGAAATTAATAAGAAATATTTAATAAAATAAGTTCATGTTGAAAAATGGTTTTTATCAAGAATAATTCTCCATGCAACACAAATTTATTAAAGCGATGTAGGGTCAAATATTAGCATTATTAGTGATTATTTATAATTGTAACGTGGTTTTCCACATGAAAATTAAATACACGCATATAATAGTGGGTTTCTGAGTGTAGGCAATACCTGCAATAATGTATTCCTACCGAGCTATTATGTATTCGCAGGCGACTACATTTATATCCGCAATTTGTGGCAGTTAAATTTACGCTCATGAACTAGCTGTTCGAAGGATTTAGTCCACACTCTCTGATGTGGTACTCTCGAAGCCAGTCAAACGAGCTAGTGCTCTTGTATACAATCGACAATGACTCCTCAAATCCTCTGATATACAACGCACATGTTGTAAATCACTGGTGCATTAATTAACGAGGAAAATAATTATTCGTGTAACCATCGGTGACTATTATAGATACTACATTCTATGGCAAAATCATTAGGACATTGGATCCGGAGTTTTAATGCTCTGGATAGAAAAGCAAGTGCGTAATGTGGTCATAAGAGTTTAAGAGAGAAAAGAGAGAACTGGAGAAAGGACAACGGCTGCAAGGGTCTGCTGTGGGACTTTCATTTAATAAAGCAATTTGTAACAGAATACAGAACGAGGCAATAATAGCCAGTCTGCAAAGAGGGTTCTAACGAGCTGCTTACCACATTCCTATGCTGCTGAATCTTCTCTTAAATGTTTCTGCCCGTTTTGTATTAAAAATTCAAATTATAATTTTGTCATTATTGTTACAGGTTTAGGTGAAAAGTACCTTTAATACTATTGCAATTTATTCTTTGATTCATATTTTTCATGAACTTTAATAATTTGCAAAAAACACTATCAAATTTCTTATTATTAGTTCACATTTTGCTTCTTAATAATTTACAATTCACAATTAGTTTTATCATTGCAATCTAATTTTATAAAAATTATTAATGATAAAAAAAAATATCTTCAAATAATCATTGACGATTTCTAATAATTCATAAATAAATTAAATAATGGGAATAATATATATTAAAATCAAGAAATACAGTTCATCAAAATTCATAATTGCACTTTTAAAACTAAATTTTAATGCAGAAAAAATTAATCTAAAATTAAGCTTCAAAATTTTTTTCATTAAAATATATAAATATAATGAAGTACTAACAATTTATTTTATTTATTGTTTACAACTCAAGTCAATGTAAACAAGGATTTGATAAAATTATCTTTATGATTATCTACATAAAAAAACATCTCAAAAGCTTATGAAAAGATCTTTGACTTTAAAGTTAATGAAAAAAACCCCTTCACGTAAAGAGACAAAAAAATAATTGAATATAAAATGACACAGGCAAGATCTATTGTAAAAATAAATCCTCGGAGCAAAACTACGTCAGCACGAGCTATATTTGGACGAGACAAAAGGAGTTTTTCTCAGCACCAAAGGATGCTTGGCAACGAAGGTTTATATGATAGGGAATGAAGTAACTTAGTGCAAGGGTCCAAGTGTTTTTATATTGAAGGATTCTCATTGAAGGATGAGGGGGGTATAAATATTGAACATGTAGTTCCCGTGGTGATCGTTTTAGCCTCGCGAGACTCATATGTAAGAGTCGATCGGTGCAGGCGATGAGAGACGCGCACACTCAAATATAAAATATTGCGTTGTTATATAGACATATAGATCCAGCTCTTCTCTCACTCAACGTTCATCGTGTTTATCCCACAGTTTGAACTCTGTATCAGCCACACTGCGGGAGGGTGGAGCGTTAAATTGATGGATAGTCTGAGGCTATATAGATAGGAATTATCAAACTATTTGTGTTCCTATTTTTAATACTGATTCATTATGTTTGTAGATTATTCAATGATATGTAAATCTTCCTCAACATGTCACTAATTATTCAAAAACTAAAAAAGGGATTAAATAGAATTCAAATCCATTACTTCATTTTTTCTAGTTTTTTGGAGTTATTTAAATCCACTTGATAAATTTCATGTTTCTATTTATCCTTTAATCCATTCATCAAAAATTATTCATCATCATTTTGTTTTCTTAATTTTAATAGAGTTATTTTCAATTGGATTAAGAAATTATTTTGAGGTATTTTGTAGTGATTTTTATTATTTTTTTTTTATTAGTGACATTATATAAGCTTTAATTTATTTCTAATAAATCATTTCACAGTTAAAGCTGTAAATTTGATAAAATTATTACCTATTAATTAGAAAATTAATGTAAAGATAAATAAAATCCTGCTGCAGTTATGGATGCATTTAAGTATGCAAAGTTAGCAATAAATTTGAAACTTATTTGACAGCATATTTAGCAATTAATTTAAAATTTAATTTATGACAGAGACTTTCCTTTCCAAGAGAATATGCTAAATAAATGGCTTCATCAATTAATTGACCAGAAATAATTATTACTGTTTTTGATGTCTTTATTAATTTAAATACATTACACTCTAATGTTTCGAGATAACATTCTTTCTTATTTTTTAGATATATCAATAGATAAATTACATTGTAAGATAATTTTTTCTTTTATTAGTTTCGGTTTTTTCAATAAAATATTTAACAAAGAGAATATTTTTCAAGATTTCTATCAATGCTATTAATAAAGTTCGAACTCATATTTCAATATTGTAAATATTTATCGCTTTCACCATGATGGAATGGCAAAATGTTACGTCAAACTGATAACTGTCACAGCCAAAAGTGAGAAATAGATACAACTGATCATCATATTCAATATACAATATTTTGTATCCGACGGCATGTGGCTGTATTTGAACCCTCTTATATTTGAAAGCCTAACCACACAGATATTCACCAACACACAGAGCCACCCCCAGTGGTCACGCATACGTTGCTGAAGTATATATATGTACAACCACCGTCACCCTCATCCTTACATTCCGCCACATGTGCTACCGTTGGCTTGATCTATGCTCTTAAAGGGGCGGTTTTGCAATGTCACGTGTTGCCGTACAATTCTAGTATGATTTTCGCGTGGTTTCACGGTTTACTTAATCGTTCTGTTAACTTTCTTAAAGCTTGTAAAACATCATCTAACTTGTCAAAGGTTTTTCTGGCAAAAATGACATCAAATTGTAGAGAAAAAAAGAAGAAAAGTTTGATAAAAATGTCATAAATACTTACATGAGTGTAGTCTTGCTCGCCATGCCAAAGGATCACTGACCAAGCCTTGAAGTCCTGGCCAATAAATTGCAGGATGGCGAGTGTCTGTCCTTTGTTGAAACTGACCAAGGCCTGGAACATGATCAACATCAAGATGAGATCAATGTTTGATGACGATTAATTGTAAACAATAGCTTGTATTAATCCCAACCTGCTGATGCAGTGAATCCTGCATGCATCCCATATCTGGGAGCAGTGAGATGTTGAGGATGAGTAGGTGTGGGTGCTAACGCATGAGGAGCAGAAACAGGCACCTGAGGATGTGTGGCAGCTGGTCGTGAAAGGATGTTGTCAATACCATGAGGATTGCTGCCGACGGACGTAACAGAAGTGGCTGGACTGTGTTTACCACTTCCTGTTGGAGATGGTTGACCCTGAGGTGGGGTGGAAAGAGGTCCACCTGATAAATTGATAGTCTGTTGCCTCTGAAGTTGTTGATGTTGATGTTGTTGATGCTGAAGTTGTTGTTGATGGTGATGACTTCTCTCAGCCATAGAATGTAAAGCAGCTAATGGTTGATTGCCTAACATTCCTCCACCGGCGGCACTTAAATTGAGAAACTGCAGAACATGAGGAGAAGCAGCTGCATGAAAATCATGAAGCCAAGGTGGTCGAGGAGGTGGTGGGGAATGACTGGAGGCCGGTGGTGGAGAACATGAACCTAAGGATGATCCAGCTGAGGAACTTCTGTCCCCTGCATCGAGGTGTCCGTTGCGACGGTGAGCGTCGCTAAGTGAGGACATCGCGTCAATAATTTCTGATGCGCGATCTCTCGCACCAAGAACTAATTGCGATGGGTCCTGAACACGAGACTCAGTCACGCCGCTATCACGGAGGGTCTCGGCGCTGGTCACGGAGCACACCATTTCGCAACGCGCATAATAATTCGCTGATGCCGTGGTCCGATCGAGCTCCGGTGAACAACCAGCAGCTCGCCCGAATCCTGAATAGTCCAGGGGGGTTGCACTCGCTGCAATATCCAGTTTAAATGCTTGATAACGTTCACAATGTTCACCACTCTGGACACCACTTCACGAGAGTTTTGTTGGAATTAATCACGATATCTATTTCTAGATCACTTCACAGATGCTTTATTATCGAGCCACAACATTTCGAGTTAATGAAATCCAGACTTATTTAGTTGTCTGTTATTCCAGAGCTCATTGATGTTGCGCGACACGGCCGAGTGGAACGAGTGGAATGTGAGGATACTGCATCCTCAAAGATCTCACAGACGAGATTCACCCCCGCGCACGTTCGAGTATCTCCTTCTTGCTCCCTGCTCGAGGGATCTGATAGGTGGGATATGATCACTACGGAGGGGAAGAAAACCTCTTGGTCCATCGGTTGCTCATACCGCGAGACTATACAGTAGTTTGTTCACCCGTAGGCGTGGCCTCGGACCCTATTGGAGATGAGACTCCCTCTCCGTTGAAATTCTACCGCTTCTCGCGGGGCGTGGCCTCTCAATCTCGCGTTAGCTTCTTGTTAAATGTCTTTCATTGTGTGTTTAAACTTGTAATTTATGATCCCGACTGAATAAAACAAGAGCCGCGCGCACAGTGAGATCGCAATGTCGCGCACGCCCGCGCACCACGTTACGTCATGACAACCTCGTTCTCACTTTGCCGGACGTTACTACCGACTTGTACCACTTACAAACTAACACTCAAGTTAATGTGCACGTTCCTCAGACTATCGTTGAGCCACTAGCTTGTCGTTAGATATACATTTAACACATTTTAAAAGATAAAAATTATCTTTGGAAATCTACAGCACGAAACTATCAAATTATTCTTAAAGCTAACTAATTACTTAATCTACACCAATTTTACCTTGGTGTCGTTTAAATTACTAATTCGCTCCAAAAATATTTTTAGCAGGCTATTATAATATTAGAAGCGCTATTAAATTTTTTAAAATTTATCTACCAACATTAATGAACTCAAATGCATAAATTATAAATAAAAACGCCATTCTAAATGATTACACTAAAAAATATATATTTACAGTATTCACCTTATTCATTAACATTATAATTCAAAAACAATTTGAATTTTATTATAAAAAATTTTTATTGTAAAAAATAATGTTAATGATCGGTGTTTAATTTTATTGATAATAAACTTTGGCATTTTATAATTGAATTTATAAAATATAAAATACATGATAGCAACAAATATACGATTGCTGTCACAGTGACAATTTAATCTCACATTTAATTCCATTTATCTAATGAATTGAATGCAATATATTGAAGCAGATCTGATGAGACTTTCGATTCATGTGTCGATTCGATAGGGAGACCGAGTCATTTTTTTTATACAACTCACAAAAATTCTGCAGTAATTTCATTTCATCTCTATACAGTCAAAAGGGACAGAGGAAAATAATGAATCCCCATGAGTTGGGTAATTGAGAGCTAATTTTCCACAACATCAAATTTTATTAACGACGAGTTGGCAGGTAAAGAATAACCGGACCCAATGAGCAGGATGATATATCAAATCAGGGGATGAAGAAATGAAAAAACATGCACCGGGCCTGAATCTCCTGGCTCATAATGTAGAAATATTATATCACATTGATATAAGACTGATTCTGACTCCTGTCTCTACGATGTTACAGCCATTATATTATTATCAAATGAATTAGGTATGCAGTTAGTCAGCCGTAGCTAATGCATCATGCAATTCTTGCATTACCCCACAGTTATGTGTTAATTCATTTCTTCCCCCAGTAGATATATATAAAGCTTTCGTGATTCTCGAAGGGCTCTCTGATATGTTACGTTGACACTCTAGTCAGTTATGATAGCCGCTAAATTCGATTAATGTTAAATTCGTTGCGGTCTAATTGTTGTCAATTAATTTTTCTTTAGGTCATCGTTTTTCAATCGTTACTAACAAGCCTTGAAGAAATACGTTAAGAAATTGTCATTCTTGTACTAAAAACAAATAATGGATATTAAAATCTCCTTAAAAATTATTCAAAATTCATAAAACAAGTAAAAATAATTATTAGTTAATTTGCAAAAGAAACATTGATTAATTTAATTGCAAAATTTTCTTTCTCATGAAAAAAAAATTTATTATATAATTGAAAATGATTTAAATGTTTATGACATTATAAATTTTTTTTTACGAGTATTCAAAGTGAGGTATAATGTGAAATAAATATTCGAAAAAAGACTTTTTCATTCATTCGAAAATTTAAATAAACTGTCACTAATGACAAACAATTGGAGCGTAACATTTTTCAAATAACCATTGATAATTTAAATATGATAAATGATTTTTTAAACATACTATCTTCAAGAAAATTCATCATCCATTATTAAATAATTTTCCTCATTTTTTTCATCTTTTTCCATCTTCGAAAATCACAATCTTCCTGGTAAGAAATACTAAAGAATTTTCCAATAAGAAAATTGGACCTTAACCAATGTTTATTCTCTCGTCGAATAATTTTTTCTTCTTGTTATATACCGATGATGATGGATCGAAAAAAAATGTAGAAAGCTAAGAATTCACTTTTGTACCATAAAATTGCGGGTCAGACAAGCATGTAGATGGTGAAGAATGCAGAATGTCAGAAGAATAGCTATATGACAGAGACTTGAAATGTCAAGTAAGTGACAGCTGCATGGTGTGAGACTCTTTTTTTTTCTCTCTTATTCTGTCACTATACCGTAACTCATAGGTACTCTCTGGGGCCCTATATCGACTGTGTGACCATTCAAGCGTTATATGAGTCCCATTGAAAGTCCATGCAGTAGCAATGGTGGCACGGGCGCCGGTCAACTCCCTCGACGATCTAAAGACGATCCCGACTGTCGACGTGCCTCTACAAATTACTGGGGAGTCAATAGCCGTGCAAATGGACCGATTAAACAGGCCACTGGAAGTACGTTACTTAGAAATAAAATTGTATAAGGGGTATCAAAATAATTCATCTCTTGACTGAGATCATTATAATAATAAATAGCAACTGAATATACCCACCTATGAAAAAAACGATGATACCTAATTATGTAACACCAACTGCGATAGTAACGACTACAGTGATGGATGTGTCATTGTCACAGACTCAAGTCATTGTTCCTTGTTCAACCTAACGACATATTAATGACGTCAGAGTGCGGCTTAAATAATAACCAGTCGATGATCGATCGGACAAGTACGTGCGTGGAAAGAGAACATCATTATTGTGGTTGATATTTTCTCAGTCGCGTATATTCAATCATTACGTGTCAGTTTATCCGTGAAGATTGGGTATTACCATGAGCGTCCATATATACATCGGCAGATGCGTCTAATCTCTTCAAGCTGACGATACCACATATTTCTCATCATTGATTTCTTCGTCAGACTTTATATGCTCGAGGAGAATCAGCTTCTTGCCTAAACAGAGAATGGACGACAGTAAATCTGATGTTGGTGTAATAAAAAGATACTTTTATGTTGAGTATTCAATGTCTTATTTGCATAAATGAATCTTTTTATTTTGGTAAAAAAGATTTGAGGATTATTAGCTTTTGGGAGTTTGATCAAAATTTTACATGGCTTCTTGAGAATTATGTATTAATAATAATAATAATAAGACTTGAGGGGGAATCTATTTTTTGTGGGTATTAATAAATCTTTTGTAGTCTATAAAATGACTTGATATGTTAAGTTAATTTGTTTTCAATAAAATTTAATTAAATTATTATTTGATTGAATCAACTTGTTTTTTTTAAAATATATTTCATTTTAATTTAGATATTTATGGGAAAATAAATTTTTTAAGAATAGTTAAAAAATTTTATTTTTAAAAAATGAAGTAGAAAAGGTTTTATTATAATAATGATTTGAAAAGATTTCATTTGAAAAATATTTTTTCAAACTAGTTGTTAGTAAATAATCCCCAAAACAATTTGGTATTTTTATAATAAATCCAAGAAAAAGATTGTCACAACGTGTCCGTATTTCCTGTTGAAAATTTGTCAATTATATTCCCTAGGATCAGTGACTTTTGTTCATTTTTATGTCCATTTTCACCTTTTATTTAGTGTAGAAAAAGAATTTAAAGTCTCTAAAACCACAGCAGTATTCCTGAAACATTTCCGATCTATTTCATTCTCATATCAAGAACTGTATTTAAGTGGCGAAAAATTTTCAGGAGCTCTTGAGGATCCAACAATGAGATGGATTTGCTTTTCTTCCATCTGACATCCTGTCTGGATGCTCATTTCCGAAAAAAGTCACATCAGGACATAAAGAGGGGACCGACATTTATTCCTTGAGCTTTCAAGCGTGCCTACACAAATCTGTCGAGATTTGACAATGGGACTCACCGTCAAATTAGGCGGCACAGGTCAACTGTACGGGTGTCCCCTTGGTGACTTTGAATGCTCGGCCACGTAGGACTAAGTATAATAAGCACGAATAATAGGGGAATATTATACAAAATACACAGTAGCTCACTCACTCTTCTTCATTGTGTCATTTTCATCCTTTATATATTTTATTATTATTGTGTAGATAAATATAAGCTGCTTGCAACGTTCTCTGCATGTCGTGCATTGCTTAAAAGTTAAAAGCATTATTAGGTATACACCAATAAGACGTTTGGTGCTAGTTTATCATTTGATCCTTCAGGAAATTCTATTCGTATACAATGAATAACAGTAGTTTTTTAAGAAAAGAATGATTCAATAATCAATTACAAAATATTTTGTGATCAATTCAAATGAAAATTTTTTATTTGAATAATCTAATACACACAACAGAGATTTTTGTGAATGAAACTTTGAAAACTTTGAAAATAGGACATAACTTTTTCTTTCAAATAAATAGTAGTTGATTTAAGAATATTTATTGAG